CAATGGCTATTAGACTTATAACGGCTAAAAGAATTTCATCTTTATGTCAACTTCCACCAATTCTTTTAACTTATTCCTTAGTCCTTCCTTGATATTAGGCCGCATGTATTAGCTGTAGCCGAGTGTGCACATCTACCACACATTCTGATCTATTCTCACTACGTCCAAATATAAATAATTCCCGAGAAAAAGAAGCGACGAGGAAGTGAAATGCTAGATCCACGCCAAGGAAATGTCCTCTAGTAACAACGCAGGCGCTGTGGGGAACAGAGTAATAATTATTCTGGCGCGAAATGAAGATTGTCTTGCAATGTATGCTGACATTTTTAAAATACATTGAAAAGTCTCGCCATGACACAGAAATGTTAGCACTTTCGAGGAGTGTGAAAAATTAGATGAGATTAAGTGCACGCAAAGCTTATAACTCTGCATGGTGCTGTACCTCCAGTAAAAACCCTCTGCGTCCTCTCATGTTTAAACAGTTATTTAAAAGAAAAGCAAAAATATTGCTAAGCATCACTTTGTGCGACTAACCAGTCATTTTCTGTTGATACAGGCTTAATATCCGAGGCGTGAACTGGCTTGTCATCAGATAGATTACAGAGCATAGTCTGTTTTGCCTTTAACAAACAGTCAAGCAATCACTTACCTGGCAAAAGGCCCACATTTCCAATCTTGGAAAAGGCAAATTGCAAGGACATATTGTCAACTAGCCAGTATCTTTCGAATTTCTTGCCAATTCGTGACTGAACGCACCGTTAAAACTTCAGAATGCACACCCTGCATTTAATGGTTCAATAGCCACTGACTTAGAACGAGTTATCTAGAACTCTAGCTTTTGTGTAGTTGGAATTTGATTAACATTTCATTGCTGAAGACAGGTAGGTGGCAATTAATGGACTCGCGAGAGCAGAAATGCCTACATCCTGATAACAACGACGAATTCAGACTCAAGAATTATTGATTATTTTCTGTTATGGACATTGCTAATGCCGGCTAAAGCTAAAACATAACTTCATGATAAGAAAACCGCAGGAAAAATTATCCGTAAAGATGTTTGAGTGTGCTGAAAGTAGTTTTAAGGCTAAACCCAAACAAAAAAAAAAAAAAAGAAAAAACAGAAAAAAAAAAACAGAAAAGAAAACATCAAACACCCGAGAGGAAATCATTATACATTCAACTTACTATCTCTTTTCTGATTGGCCGAAAACGTTCAGTGAATTTTAGAAGTCAGCGCCTAAGACGTCATCTAGCTGCAGATTATACAATAATCATGCCAAGGACGCTCAAGGTTCACGGGTAATCATGGCATGTATGACCGCGGTGCATGATTTCTAAAGGTAATGATGTCAAGTTCGCGCGCTTTGGTGCTTGCCGTCACCGGAAGAAGCAAAAACATGACTTCCAGGTGTGCTTCGTTGACCGAGCAAGACATCGAAACAATCGTTGAAGACAAGGACTCACAAAACAAAACGTCTACGAAGGTGGCAAAGCAGCTGTTTGTTGATTACGTGAAATAGAAAAAACTGAGAGAACCTGGAGTATTTTTACATGTTTAGAAATAAATTATCAGTTCAACTTACTGCCGTGATCATTTTTTTTCGTTCAATGTATAATAAAATAGCTATTAGATTCGGTTTTATTGATATCCAGAATAATCAAGGTCTTGGTAAGGGTTATCAGCCTCCGCCTTTACCCTGCGAGCACACGTTTCTCTCTTGCATGGCTTTTGGCGTTCATGGCTCCGTCAATTCCAAGCGGGCCCATCCCCCCTCCGGGCATTTGTCATCTTGTCGGTCCGTGACTTCGCGATACCGGTAAGATGCTCTAACCAACTGTGCTATAAAGCCACTGATGTTGGAAGCTGATCAATTATCATGGTCAATAATTTATTCATCTTTTATTCTAAGAGTAAATATATAAGTACGCCGGCGAAACAACATACATGTAGACCGTCCTACAAATATTACTTACACTTAACATTCAAGGGTTCAACATAAATTTGATATCGTGAAACCCAAAGCTCATACAGTTAAGAAACAAGTACAGTCGCACCTGTATATAACGGCCACCCTCGGGACTTGAGAAACTGGTCGCTTAATACAGGTGACCGCTTAATACAGGATCACTAAAAATACTCACTGGACGTGGTCTAATGTAAATTTTAGTGGCGTATCATATTAATACACTTCATGCAAGGAAACAATAGAACAATCAACACTCTTTCAAGTGGCTTTAAACAAAGTTCAGTGTCAACTTGTAACTTAACGGTCTAGTAAACGCAACATTGTCGAATCTTCTACGGTGTACAGTACTGTATTCTGTTCAAGTTAAAGTACAAATAGGGTAGGAATAACGAAGTCTTAAAAAAGTCGGACATGTACGTCTGGCGCTTCGGCACTTGAGCCGATTGTCAGTTTACAGTAGCTTTGCAAATGGTATTTCTTTATAGTGATGATGACATATGGCTTAGTTTCCATTCAGGGGTGACCGGTTAATAAAGGTAAAAATAACAAAGAAAGACAAACATGGGACTGCTACAGGGTGGCCGCCTAATACAGGTAACAAATGCAGCGTTCAATTTGTATGAGCGAAAAATCGGGACTTTGAAAACTGGCCGCTTATTACAGGGTGGCCGCTTAATACAGGGCCGTTATATACAGGTTCCACTTTATATTATGGCAGATCATATTTGAAATTTTTGTTCTATTATTTCATCTCCTTTTCTGATTAGCTCAAATTCCCAAGCTTAATCTTCATAACCAGAAGGCCCTTACCATATTTGGAAGTTTGAGGTAATATTCCGTATTAATACTGATTGCACTAATATACATTCGCAACTTGTGATTTCCGACGACGCAGCGACGAGGTAACCAAGCCGTTTTGGCATGGGTAAATTCAAGAAAATGGAAGAAATAGCCGGATTGCTCAGAAAAACTGAGCGGAACAAGCGCAAGGACACAAAAATGCATTGCATTCAATAGGCCCGGTATCTGACATGTATATATTTGTCTTGTTTAACTTCATAAACAGTACCAATTGATATCTTTCTTTTTCCTCTTCTTTTTTTATTTCTTTTGAAACAGAGACATTTATTCAGTGTTGTAAAAACAAATTTCATCGCAAAACCTGCAGTCCGTGATTTCACTATGCTGAATCAGTATTTCCCGCACTTCCGTATATGACAATGCACATATTTGCTATATTGTTGTGGGCAAGTTACCATGTCACGAATGGAAAAGGTTAGCGTATAAAATAACAGACAGGTGTCGGTATGCCTTTTCAACGCAAAAGATTCGACCTCTTATTATTCACGAAGCTCGGTTGACACGTAATGCTCCAAAACGAAACGTTAAAACAACAGTGTCTCTCAGGTTACTCTATTCGAGCTAAATATACACAGACGCTTCAATAAAGTAGGTTTAGTCGTCTTAGTCGGTAAGGTAGAAAAATGTATAGAACACGCGTACGTTGAGACTGAACTATGCGCATAAACCACAACCATCATAGAATGTGCTTACGTGTCATTATTCAGAGTATTTGGCGTCTGATCTATCACGCAAGAGCGCGAATGACTAACCCTGCCTAAGACTTCTACAAACAAAATGAAGGCATGTAGAAAAAAGGCTCTCTATGCAGACAATGGCAATATACTGAGTGTAATAATGAGCTGCTTTCAAGTTTTATTCACATTCTGGTCGCTTCGGGTAGAGCATTCCTTAGTGGGAAAGAAATGCAATGCTTCGAAGTCTAAATCAGGTGAAAACTTAGGCTGCCTGATCAAACTTACTAAATAAACGCTAAATAATGCACATCTAAATAATGTGCAAACAAACATTTTTGGAAGGTGTTTAAAATAATAGCATTGGCCAGTTGAAGCAAAGCGAAAACTAAAACTGAAGCAAACAAAGAACCGGAAATAGCTGTTAAAAATACTCTTGACGCTACTTGATTTGTCGTTTGCCACTCTTTGCCACAACCCTCTATAACTTGCAAATTGCATCAATCGGAATAATTAAAGTTTAATGTTCATGCCGAATTTGTATGTGAATAACACTACTTGGGAAAACATGTTCTATTGTCACCAGTAGTAGATAAAGTTTCGAGTCGAAAAGTTATTGATTAAAGGGGTAGTTTATAACGAAAACTAATTAAATTGCGATGTAATAAAAAGAAGTAACTTGAATATGGTTTGAGGAATAAGGTTAATCGAAACGGCACTGGTCCTTTACATGATAGTCAATTTATTCTATAAAAATCATAGTTTAGAAAGTTTACAAATGAAAGTGTAAGCAAGCTTTTAGCTCAAGGGCCATGTGTCTAAGAAGACCTTGGAGACAAAAAAGGAGACTCTTGAAATGCATTTATAATCATCCGGAGTGCGTCACCGCAAACCTGATTAACTAGCCATCCGTAAGATTTCTATTTACAAAGGAGCTTATTAATCTACCATAATTCACATATTTGCACGCAAACCTATTGCAGCATTTAACAGCGAAAATTCATTGCCTCGCATTTTTTTGCTTCAGTTTAATATACACCTATTTCAATAAAGGTTGCTCCCGTGAACTATGTTTCATAGACTGCAGTGCACTATGGTAAACCCTTTTGTCGCGGCAATACGAGAGATAATAAAAACAAAAAAGCCTTAGTTTCATGCAGTGGTTATCCTGATAAATTTAACTCATGGATTAGTTTTAAAGATTTGGAAAATATTTAATACTAATAAAGTATTAATATTGAGTTTAATCATCAATATCTGAAATGTCTGAAATATTAATTTTTTTCATTATTGTCCTCATCTTCTTCATCACTTTCTTGTATTGTTAAAATTGGTTCTCTCACTTCATGTATTTTTATTTGGAGAGAAGTAACATTCTTACTTATAAAAATACCTTCGATTATCAATGCCATTTTTACTTTGCAATATTGATTCCGATAATCAAAAGGATTAAGTTTTTGCTTTCCTTTTGTTTTAAAAAGAAAAAGAATTTTTTGTTTTATTCAGAGTAAATAAGTTTTGCATAAAGTAATGGTGCAGCCGTTTCATCTCTCTTGTTTTTCTTTTTCCCTTTCTTGTCGGTATACTCAACCTGCTTGTAATAAAGTGGAGCATTCAGAGTTGGTGCTAAATCTGCTCCGTATTCATTTTCAAGATGTTGTTGACAAATTTCTATTATACTATTTATTGATTCAAAAAATGCTTTTTCTTCAATATTAGGTTGACTATCTTTTTCCCATAAGAAGACAGGGATAGAATACCCAAGCAATTTGTCGGTCTCTTGTGATTTCTTTTCATTTACACCAAAACTAAAAAGAAATAGTGTCTCAATTATTAAATCACCTTTCTTACCATTTGGATATTTGGTTTCAATTTTAATACGTTGATATTTAAATTTCGAATCTTTGACTTTGTAATCTTTTACGTTCATATAATCGGGGCTTGAGGACTAATACCAAATTGATACCTGAGGGACATTTTATGCAAGTTAAACGAGAACGAGTTAGATAATCACGAAATTCACAATTAAAGTGGAGGAGCAAGGAAAGAGAGGCAGGTGGAAGGCTATTAAAGTGTGAGAATACATGGCAAGAAACATGGAATTTATAGAGTGAATGGAGGGAAAGAATAAAAAGCTTCGAGACTAGGACGCTTAAAACGTGTTCGTGGAGGAGAAAAGGTGATAATTCGCGCGCGAGAGAGAAAAACCGATTTGTTCAAGCAGACTCTAAAGGTCATGTTTCTCATTATCACACGAGCTTATGAGTCGCGTTTGGCCTGTCAGAAGCTAATTTCTAACTGAATTGATCGGCCAGCATTTGTGAAATAGCGTGCACAGTTTCTGAAGAGACAATCCACGGATTCAATCCGTTGTCGGGGAGCCAACAACCACCACTACTGTGAGGGCAATGAATAAGAACCAAACCTTGCTCAAAATTAACGCGGCCATTGTAGTCATGATTGATTCAAACCGAAGTTACCTTTCAGCTCCATCGTACATGAGGGGGTTTTCTGCTGATGATATAAATTCGGTGCCTCTTATACGACGACTTTCCGTGACCCCATATACCACATGCTTGTTTGTAACGCATAAAAAGGGGCTTTTTTGTGCGCATATATATATGCGCGTTTGTACCCACAAAGCAGGAAAGAACGCAAGTATACGTGGCACTAAAACCCACGTATATCGTGTAGCAGGAATGATTGCAAGTATACGTGGGAAAAAAACAGCACGTATATCGATCGTGTCATAATTTTGAAACAACTGGCCGACCATACAATTTGCACTGTTAGTAAGCCAATAAGATTTGTTGACTATTACAGCAAACTAAATATATCTCTTGTAATGGTGGATCCCGGGAAGCGACAAAGAGATATTTAATGGACAGGAAATTATAACAGGGCCACCCAACGTTCTTTTCTGCAACTGAAATATCTGTTCGGAGAAGCAAATATTGCCTAGAACTTCTATTACTTTTAAGAACGGCTAAAAAATTTTAGATGATCATTCCATTCATGTGCAATTTTCGAAGCTTATCTGATTAAATTCCCTTTGATTTAGTATCGCACGTAAAACGCAGTTTCGTTTTTCTAGTCAAGGTACACAACAGAAAATTGAGTATGCCTCATGAACATTTTGGACGATGGTGAAGCCATGCAAACAATCTTATTTAGCTGTCGTTTTATGTATTCTATGTCAATTTCAAATTGTATAGTTTGATTATAATAGGTCTAGTATTGTCTCCTTCCGTGAGCCTATTTTAAAGAGTTTCGACACCATTAAATTAATATGGTTTCGAGAGTAACTGTCTGACTGGGAAGTTTCACAGAAACTTAAGTTGATTCCAAAGTTAGCTTTCTAAGAACTCACTATCATCACTCACTGCACACCTACCCCTCTCCTGAGAGAAGCCAATATTAAGACTTGCTTCTCACTTAATTAGGGCAAAGTTTTGGCTTAGGGGAGGGGTAGGTCTAGCTGCAGTTTCCCAGAAACTTAAATTGTTTTGCAAATATACAAGTAGACGCATACCCCGAAGATGACCATGTAAAGACGTTTAGAGAATTAAGTCGCATCTTTTGGGTCGGAACAATTTATTACTCTTAAAGTCTTAAAAATAAGAGACAGGTGTCAGTATGCCTTTTCAATGCGAAAGACTAGACCTTTTATTACTTGAGAAGCTCGGTTGACACGAAATGCTCCAAACGAAACGTTAAAACAACAGTGTCTATCAGGTTACTCTATTCGAGCTAAATATACACTGACGCTTCAATAAAGTAGGTTTAGTCGTCTTAGTCGGTAAGGTAGAAAAATGTATAGAACACGCGTACGTTGAGACTGAACTATGCGCATAAACCACAACCATCATAGAATGTGCTTACGTGTCATTATTCAGAGTATTTATTATGCAAAATATCTATAAACTTAATTAAGCAGGGCAAACTTTGGAATATCGTTTTAATGAAAAGGTGAGTGAGCGAGTACCGAAGAGATAGAAAAAAAAGTGAAGGTTTACAGTTAGAGCAAATAATATCAATCAATAAATCAATTAGTCCTACCTTTCATGTAACATAACAACACATCATTGATGAAACGTTTCATTATTAATATAGAATGTTCGTCGTCTCCATTAATGGCGTAACTGGCTTTGATTTAGTAGGGACTTTACCCGGGGCGAGATCGCCGTCACCAGCGCGGGAAAAACAAAGTTACGGATGCGAACGCGACGACGGAGACAGAGCTGTGCAAATCCTTCAAACTACTCAGTTATACATCATAAATGGTCACATTCAGAGAGGCAAGGGAAGCTTTATTGTTTGCCTATCAAGATGGAAGAATTGATGATACAGAGTTTACCCTGGTGTACGATTTAAATTCTTCTGAAAATCTAGAATTTCCTTATTGGAAGTATGGTGGCTTCGATCTTGATTCTATGACATATGAGGCTGAGTTTCGGTTTTTCAAGAACGATATTTATTTACTCGGAGAAGTTCTTGATATTCCAGACATAATGAAATGCCCCAATGGCGTTCTTATTACTCATTTTCAAAAGGTCATACAGCCATAGATTTACACTGTGGTCATTATAACACAACGGGGAAGGAGAAAAAGTCATAGAAAAATATATCGAGTCTAATGCAATATATAACATAAAAACTGTAATGCCTGCCACCTACTGACCACCCGCCCCTACCCCTTATCCTGTTTTTTAGTTATTAATGACCACAGCCTTGGGACTGAGATACAACTCACAGTTTTTTCAATACAACTTGATTGTGTCTTAATCATTAAAGTGATTTTAGTGAGGAGTACTGTTAACCCTACAAGAGAGATTTTAAAATTAGAAATGTGAGCTTAATATTTGGCCCCAATATACTCCCTCCCCTAGATTCCCCAGCCCTTTTTATCCTAGGGAGTTTTCGAACACGTAAAGTATCACTAGTTTCTTTTATAGCAGACTATAAATACAGAATTTTATTGCAGTTCACGAAACAGAATGCAACTTTTCAAAAAAAAATATTCAACTACTCTAGACAAAACGTATTTTCTAATATGCCACCATCCAATGACATAGCTGCAATAATAGAACATAACAAAAGGCGGGCTCCTCGGCACAAGAAAAATGTAGTGCCACTGTTGAAATACAAACATTGATCGCTCACAGAAAAGTTCGTCGTGACTCTTGTCAAAACAAAGACAATAGTTAATACAATATACAAAGTGGTTTTCAAAATCAAGCGACAGCTATACCAGCAATACTGGTGAATTTTAAGTGAATTAGGTAGCTATTTGTTCTCAAGTTTGTCCAGCAGACTCATCAGTACTTTAGTTTGGTCTTGTTGCTGTCTCAACATCAGTTGTTGTGACGCCAAGAGTTGCTGTTGCTGCTGTTGTTGTTGTTCTTGCATTAGCCGCATCATTTCACTTTGATTTGGACCTTTTATCCACAGCAAAGACAGGCTCAGGACAGGTATTCAAAGTGTTAGCTATTCTATCCCAAATTTCGCTTCTTTGCGACGAACCCTTTCTTGTTTTGAACGGATTCTCGGAAACAACCTCCCTGCACGAAATGCTCCAAACGAAACGTTAAAACAGCAGTGTCTCTCAGGTTACTTTATTCGAGCTGAATATACACTGACGCTTCAATTAAAAATAGGTTTAGTCCGTAAGGTAGAAAAATGTACAGAACACACGTAAGTTGAGACTGAATTACGCGCACAAACCACAAACATCATAAAATCTGCTTACGCGTTAATATTCAGAATATTTGGCGTCTATCACGCAAGAGCGCGAATGACTAACCCTGCCAAAGACTTAAACTGAAGGCATTTCTAGTAATTCTCTCTGTATAGACAATGGCAATAAAATGAGTGTAATACTGAAACTGCTTTCAAGTTTTATTCACACTCTAGTCGCTTCGGGTAGAGCATTCCTTAGTGGAAAAGAAATGCAATGCTTCGAAGTCTAAATCAGGTGAAGACTTAAGCTGCCTAATCAAACTTACTAAATAAACGCTAAATGCACATCTAAATCATGTCGAAACAAACGTTTTTGGAAGGTGTTTAAAACAACACTGACTGTCCACAAATTCCAAGAGCAGTCAATAGCACTCGCTTATTAAGAGTATTGCAAATGTCCCTGTTCCTAATAACGTTGTTTCTGATTTGCAAATTAATTGCGGGTTTATGTTGTTTTTGTGAAAACCCGTAAGACACAAAGGCATATCCAGAAGTTTCAGATTTTAAAGCTTCAGTTTACTTACAAAACGTTATTATACAAAATATCTATAAACTTAATTAAGCAGGGCAAACTTTGGAATATCGTTTAATGAAAAAGTGAGTGAGTGCCGAAGAGATAGAAAAAAAAGTGAAGGTTTACAGTTAGAGCAAATAATATCAATCAATAAATCAATTAGTCCCACCTTTCATGTAACATAACAACACATCATTGACGAAACGTTTCATTATTAATATAGAATGTTCGTCGTCTCCATTACTGCGCTTTTCACAAACATGCGAATTCTGAAGTTCAAAAGCCAACTGACGGTTTTTCGGTGTCGTCAATCATCTTAACGGACCTCTTAGGAAACAAAACTTTACTTTAACGGGTTCAAAAGGTCAAGGTTTGTGATTTGTGATTAGTGGATTTCGATCCGTTTTGTGTGTTTCTGTGTTTCCAGGTTCGTTGCTTGTGATCGTAATTATGATTGACGGCAGCGAAAAACCCAATTGTGAAGGAGGCTTTTGAACTTTAGAGTTCGCATGTTTGTGAAAAACGCAGTTATAGCGTAACTGGTATGAAAGGTTAAAGGCGCTGAAATTATTCATTGTTCAATTTGCATCTGTCAGTAAGCCAATAAGATTTGTTGACTATTACAGCAAACTAAATATATCTCTTGTGATTAATTGTAAAGGTGGATCCCGGGAAGGGACAAAGAGATATTTATAAATGGACAGGAAATTATAACAGGGACACCCAACGTTCTTTTCTGCAAAATATCTGTTCGGAGAAGCAAATATTGACTAGAACTTCTATTACTTTTAAGGACGGCTAAAACAATTTAGATGATCATTCCATTCATGCACAATTTTCGAAGCTTATCTGATAAATTCCCTATGATTTTCTAAAGTTAAATTTTTCACGCTTCACTTCCCAAATTAGGCTACCTTACGTAGAAAAAAGGGAACCTAAAATTGTCGGATTCAAAGATTTGATGGAAAGAGGAATCAAAAAAATTGTCATTTTCGTAACGCGTTAAGTTGCATCTAAAATTTTCGGGAAAATGATACTGAAGCCCTTGTAATTTCGAAAAGACTCAAGTTCGTCTAGGATGACCGAACAGATAACAATTTTAAAGCGCCGCCTAGAATGCCAGAGCTGTAAAAGTACTCTGGATATCCTAAAAAGGATTTTCAATGTAATTAAGGGAAAACCGTGGTTGGGTGCCGCTGTTACAGGCCCTGACTGGCCTGAACCTCTAATATTATATCATATTAGTGCCGTATCAGTGGTTGATCCAGGGGAGGGGCCGGCGGGGGACCCGGCCACCCCCGTTAGTTTTGGTCTAAACTGAGGCCCGAAGGGGCGAAAAATTTTTTTTAGGAGCTGTTTTACATAATTGCCACTTGCTTTTTGGCCAAAAGGCAAAGTTTCGCATTTCGTTCAGCCAAAAACAATAAATAGACCATTTTCGAGTTCTAAAACCCTCACTTTCAAAACGAAGCTTAATGCAAAACTTTTCCTTGTGATAACTAAGCTTTATTTTGCATGAGAATAAAAATTTATTTTCATATCAATGGTTTCGCACTTAGCTTCACTTTGAAAAGGAGGCTTTAGGGTAACTTGGAACTGACTAGCCTATTGTAAGCGTATGCATCAGTAACGTCTAACCTGCCGTGCCTGTCATGCAGGGTTGCCAAATTCCGGTCACAATAGCTAGAAAACAATCGTGTTCAAGGGCTACAAACATTGCAGTCTTAGGCCCTGTCCACACGTATCGGGATATTTTTGAATCTGCAGTTTCTTCTACCCAGATTAAAAAATATCCACGTCCACACGTATCCGTATTCATATCGGATTTGCCCGTCCACACGTATCCGACACATATCCGTCTATTCTTTACTAAAACAACGTCTGTGAACAGGCTAGATGGTTCAAAATTCCGTTGCCTTTCTGCAGGACTTGAAAATGGAGGCATTGTTTTGTGCTTCCGCAGGAAACACCTTTTTCCAACCTGTGTAAATGTAATATATGCACAAAACAAACAAAAAATCGATATAAGCAAACAACAGAGTAAACAAGCTCAGACAAGTGAAGTTGAGAGAAATTACAAAATGTTTGCGAACCCGGTTTTCATAAATCCAGGTAGATTTATTAGTATTCAAATATTTACCTTAATAACTGATATTAATTTGTGTGTGGTGGGGGGGGGGGGGGGGGGGTGCATAGTAATTAATTCAACGAAATGAAGGAACTCCTTGTTTCGAAGATGGTTTCAATTCTCCATAAAGAAGTAGGACACAGAGTGGACATGCTAATTACAAGCGCACGACATTAGCGGTCTTGCAACGAAAGATCAAAACAAATCGGAACTTCCAGCATATGAATAAACCATACCAGGTCAGTTCATTGTTTGTTCATTTTGTAGTGAAGAATAAGGAGGGAGCGGGGAGAGAGGGAGAGGGGCGGGGGGGGCTTCATAACTTTCTTTCTTTATTGTAAAAGGCGCCAAATAAATAAAACATGTATGTTTGTGTGTATGTATTAATAATCACAAGAGTTAAGGCTTCAGGAGCAATCATTGATCGTTTATTGCGACAGTGCTGTTTCGTATGGTCCGAAATTGTAGGACCACACTCATCAGGCACCTTCAACGATTGTTCGTTAAAATTAAAAGCTGACAGTAAAAATAGGGATGCGTTAAGAGATAGTATCTAGGTATCTAGGTTCCTGTGCGAACATTCTGGCCCGTTTTGAGGTACGTTTTCAAAAATTCGGCTAGATGTTGACGAGAAATGCTGTTTTTTCCAAGAAGGAGGTCACCTCGGAACAAATCTGCCTCCTTTGGACCCAGTTTCGTCCCATCTCTCCCCTCCCGTCAGCATTTAAGGACATCATCTAGCCGGATTTATGAAAACCGTACCATCGGACTCCTGGCGCCCACACACCTTAAACTGACTCAACTAAAACAAATATCGCCAAGTAACTCAGCTCTTAGCCATGGTTCTCTTAAGGTGACTCTCTTCTTGGTTCCTGATTAGCAAAAGAAACCTTGAAGTCCATCAAAAAGACACTCTGGTCTTGGCCATATACTCTAGCTGCTTAAGGGCCCTAAATGACGGAGGATGCTTGAGACTTAACCTAGTTCTAAGCGGTTAAATCAGCCCCCCTGACTTCCTCCACCCCCCCGCCCTACCCCAGCCTAGCAGGTGCTAGGGGAATGCTTTCATTGGCCAATGGGCCTCAAACATTACAAGAATTTGACACGACAAACTAAAGGCAGACATGACCAGTGCACTGACTCTCCCAGAGCTAGACTAACGGAAGGTACCACGCTTTTGCAGCACCCTCCCCCACTAGGGATTGACATGGAGGCCCATTTCCAACCCGAGGAGAGTTAGCTCAGGGACTGAGCTTGACAATGAGACCAACCAAGACAGCAAGGGCCCTATGTTTTTTCTCACCGCAGTGACCAGAAACCTGGCTATCGCCAGGTTCCTGTGCGAATATTCTGGCCTGTCTTGAGGTATGTTTTCAAAAATTCAGCTAGATATATGTATGTATGTTCCCTGAAAAGGGGGGAAGGGCTTATTTGAGAGGGAAGGCTTCATAAAGGATTTACGGTCATTTAGTCCTTTAATTTGTTTGGTCATTTTGATTTTGTACTTTTTTCTCCTTACAGATTAAGGTACGTGTCTTTCTTTCAGTTTGTTCGTCTAGGACCAAAGACTAGTTGGTGTGTGGACCGAGCCCAGATGTATCTTCTTTCTTTCAAACCAAATCAACCCATCCGACGGTCGACGGTTTTATTACTGTGACTGTAAAGGACATTTTGGCACTGGTTCACAGTGTGTGACTTGTTTTATGAACTACTGGCTCTGCCCTCCGTCTAAGTAATACTCAAGATATACCATCTGGTTTAGGTAATTGCGGGTTTCAAGTCTAATTTGGGATAACTAAGCACATAACTAAGTTAAGACCGGTCACGAAACAGAGCCACCATGGATACATCCCATTTCAAATTAAACGGGACTATATCCGGAAGCGACATTGGCCTTGTCTTCGATTTACCCAACCAAGACACAAGGGCCGCAGAGAATCCCAGGATGGTTCTTAAAGAAGAATGCGAACAATTTTGGCTGCGCCATGCATGGGCAGAGGGGAAAAATGTAAGAGCTATAACTCAAGCTCACCAACTGTGGTAATGATTAGATTAAGATTATTTGCTCTTCTAAACAAAAACTAATAATAAACATAATAATCAATATCCGAGAATCGACACTAGGTACCGTACTTCTACTTTAAAACGTGCTAAAAGCTGCGCATGCACCGTGTAAGGAAGCACATCCGGTACGTGCACCTTGTAAGGTTGATCAAACTTAACACCTGGATTTCTCCTCTGTTGTTGCTGTTTGTGCACAGAACAAGTACTAAGGTTACTAGAAATACGAGCATCTCAGAACCTTGAGTAGCTTTGGGGGGAGGGGCGGGGGGGTGGGGAGTTGGGGATGGCCCGTAAAAGTTTAGGGATGGGGGAAAGAGAAAATAACGTAAATTGAGTACTTGTTCGGGGAGGCCAGAGGGGAAGGGTCCGCACCGGCTCTAATTTTGAAGAACCTCAATAATCAATGTTCAATCTTCTTTTGGTGGAGTAAATTGTTTCTCAGTCCCTGGCCTTAAAATGAAAGGGATGAGATCTGGTACTGGTGAGTATCGGGTTGCTGGTATTGTTAAGTAATAGTAGCGAAAGTTGCAAAGGTCTCGGGTTCACCCCATGTGAATTGCTACTAATTTTCCAAAGGAAATAGTTGTAAAGCTGGATGACTGCAGGCAAATATCCATACATTCAGTGGCATTTGTTCAATTTCTGAAAGATTAAGTACAGTTCAAGTGTATGCGGATTTGTTCATCAAATTTATTCAAAAAAATATTCTGCGTGAGAGATCTCCCATGCATGTACATTTAAGTGGAAAACCTGCCTCACTGTTATCAGCAGATAACACAATAAAGCATTGGAGACATAATTACAAACAAAGATGTTTTATTTTATTATTTTCTGACTTAGCGTCCATCATTCTGGGGAGTAAATATAAAGTATTATAGTTAAATACCCTTATTATTCATTCAAAATGTTTCCCCTATTCTGATTGGCTAAAAGCACACGCATAATTCACCATAACCAGCTCCTGATGACAAGATTTAGAAGAATTTTGCGTTTAATGAACCGATGAGGTGATAAGTGCAGTTTTCTTGCAGGTTAATGCACCGTTAACCGAGAAGACCTGGGGACGGGGTTCAGTTGTTTTGGTTGTGAAAACAAAAAAATGGCTGACATTTCACTCGTTTCAAGAGTAAGAACTAGGGGAAATTATAGCTGAGAGCATGGCAAGAACAGCAAGAGCACAACTCAAAGGGCGACATCTGGAGATCTGGAGAATATTTGGGGAGCTGAACAACCCTAAACGCGCACTATCGAAGATGAACTGAACATCGATGGAGGTAAGCATGTTTTAGCATTGTTTTTAAACTGAGATTTATTTTGAATAAATAATAAAACAATTATTGAATTCGGTTTTCGTATCATATTAAGAATTTTGAGATCTCGGAGAGTAGTAAATTCTTCATAAGATACTCAGCCTCATTCATTAATTGTTAATTACATCAGCGCAGCCTTATCGTAAATAAGCTTAGGCTGCAAGAATGTAAGTATTTGAAAAAGCGTTTCAGTGTCATTAATGATTAGTGACGACATTATTACCGATTCACTTGCATGTAAATAGTCATTACGAAGGTAATTTAACAAAGACTATAAGCATTTTACAGAACTCCTACAGTCAGCATAGGGACCAATGGCATCACTGTTATTTTCTAGCTGATTCTAAATTTAGTTCCCTTAGCTTTCTTAAATCAGTGAACGCAAGGAGAACGAGAGTAATAGAAAGAGAAACTAAATACAAGGCTTATTCATATTACTGCAGTTCGAACGATATACCATTGGAATGAGGAATAACATTTGGAAACATTCAAGTCGTAAATCACAGTATCAAACTTTTTTCGAATTTTCAGAGCGAGAGTTATTTCATTTTATTCATTCAGTGTTGTTAATGACCGGTTAATTATCTGTCATATCATTCAAAATCGTCTTCATCTTTGTCAAGTTTGGCATATTTAGAAGTTAGGAACTAATCTACTTACATCTTTGATGAAGATCTAAAATGGCTAATAATTAAACATTTTGCTTTGCCACTAAAAAGACTTGACTTTGTGCCACCAGTAACCATAACAAATAAATGTAACCAAGGTCTAAAATGTTCTCAAGAAACAAAGGTAAAGAGGAGAAAAATACAGAAAGCAAAAATAAAAGGCTTACGACTTAGTTTGAATCGACTTACGACTTAGTTTAAATCGCTGCAGAGTCAAGTGAGTATCAAAAGCAAAAACTGAGAAACCTATATGCTAACTCGGAGACAGTTTACCTGACCGCCGCCCTTTAGCTTGATTGGATAAGCGCCGGTCTGTCGTGTCGGGAGGTCGAGGGTTCAGACCCTGGGCGGATCGACACTCCGGGTCTTTGAATAACTTAAAACGACTGTTCTGCCGTCGTTCTGACATGTACATGCACAAACGTTTAGACATTCTAGTTTTTTCAGACAGGGAAGAAAGACCCTAGGCCCAGTCTCTTTCGAAGCTGACTGATTGTTGTATAATCACGCTGCTGCTCATGAAGCCTAGAGGGCGTATACCCTGATGGACTACCTTTTACAGGTTGGGTGGATATAAATTAGGACGCATGCACAAGTCCTGTCTCGACGGTTATTCGAGACAAGACCATAGAATAAGACTGAGAAGGATAATGCATTTAATCATAATTAGTATTTACCAAACCAGTGAATAACACTTTTGGCTTGTTTTGATTGGCTCCCGTAACTCGGAATGTCCTTGGCTATTTACTGTTTTGCGTCCGGAGCCAAGATGGCGTCTCGTTTCAAGACATTTTTGGAAGACGAAATTTGAGGGATAAATGAATCAGTCGTACAAACAAATACCAAGAAAGTGACGACCTTTGGCTTGTCGGTGTCAACTTGTAGGTAGAAAATTATTTTCACGCTGAATTTGCAACCAACATCGTGTAAATGCCCTTGACAATATCCCCGAAATGTTTTTAAGTTGTAAACAAAGTTCCTACTAAATGACGTTTTTAATTCACCAAAAGTTACTTTTTTTCGCTTTTACCCAACTGATTTGGTAACTACTAAAAAACAACCCCCTCAGAGTCGGCGAACATCGCTAGATATACACCTTGACGCCTCACGTCTCGGTGTAGATCACCCCTTTTCACCTCCCGCAGCGAAGTTCTCAAACTGAATCTGATTGGAAATCAGCTGTCCAGATTTTAGCATTATAGGTCAGTGTAATAGGACACGATGAGTATGCGTCATGCCTGAGTAATTAAACAGTACGCGCCATCACGTGAGCGCACCCAACGGTGTGTGTGTGTGTGTGTGTTTTTTTGCTGCTAGCAAAAAATCTGGGAATGACCGGAATATATTGCGTATCAGTAATTTTAAAATAGCTTTAATTATCACAAATGTTGTTTTAGTTATCTGGTCTCGTCATACTAAACAAATCGGCTACCGTCGTCCGATTTGTTGGGCCTTTTTGGTGCTGCGATTAGTTTAATCACTCGTATGATTAGAGACCGAATTGGACTTCGCTGAGTCCTATCACCATTATAAAAAAGCAGGTCTAACAACAGGGAAGTTGTTTTCTTGTGGAGAATGAATAGTTTTAATTAATTCAATCAACAATAAGAAAACAAAGAAGCCATTTGCAGGGGGATTGCAAATTGAATACAAAAAGATGCCGTAACGTAACTAATTGCTTTAAGCACTAATTTTACTCAATCTGGTTGCACTGTTGCTAATATTGTAAGCTGAAATGTAAAGAATAGCCATAATATAGTGTTTACAAATAACGGGGCACATTTTGTGATACCCTTAATGAGTTCACCGTGAACTATACATTACCGAGTGTAGTAGCATACGAACCATTCATAAGAGTTGCTGAGTGCTACCGTAAATTAGGGGTAGGGAAGAGCTTAAACAGTCAGTGGTAAATGTTCGCATTCTTACTCGCAAGCGAATGTTTTTATCGGATTGTATGAAAAAAGCCTCGTCGTTTTACTTTCTTGGAGAACTATACAGAGAAATGAAAGATTTGATATGCTCTTTAAAGCCACACTAACGCCTTTTCGTAAACGTATAGTAACTATAAATTTTGATGCGCTTAGGCCTTCCGCCACACTACTACGCTGAGCGTTTTCATCGAAAGTGGATACACATCGTATTAGCGTGGACGGTCGAAAACGCATTAAAATAAAAATGGCGACCGAAAATATCCTAGGCGCGTGTGTTGGTAGCATGCCAAAAGAATTCCAATTACAGTTCTATCTTTTTCGAACGGTTTCGTGGGGACAGTCGAAAACGCATCAAACAGTAGTGTGGACTCAAATCAATCGATGCGTTTTCTGTGGCAACGAAAATGAATACTTTTGAAAACGCGTAAGCGTGAACTAAGCTTAAACGTGTCGAGAATTGAATTATAAAAGAAAGCGCTTTGTCGCCACTCAGCTATTTTTTTACAGCTGCAATGTACGCCTATTTTCTTATTTGCGTTTTTTGCTATCTATTCTAAAAGTGCGGAGATTTTATCAAATCCATCGAACTACATTGCAAAAAAGATTAGAAAGACGTAGTCTCTTGTGGGCTCTGTCCTTTGGGTAAGTAATTAATGGAATGTTCAGTCTTTGGTTGGGACTCGTGTTCCCCATTATATGTGTCAGCTGATGACTGGCCAGCAACATTTTGTTTCTCGTCCTCTGGTTGTACTTTGAAGTTGCTTACAGGTGAATCGTTTGGTGCTTTTTTGGGTTCAAGCTTTTCTGGGCCATCAGCGTTATTTGGCGACGAGTTAGATCCATTGTCTTGATTTCCATGGCCAGTGTCTGCAACATCGGATTCTTGGAATGCTTCGTTAACGTGGAACATTTGTTGGCTCTTGACTGGATTATAACCGAGTTCTGATTTACTTGTTTTTGTATCATTTGTCTTCATTTCCCCAAGTGCTACATCAGACGGTTCCCCAGAAAATGATGGATAAAGAGGAGATGCTGGTTTATCGTGCATCGGGTTAAAAGATGGATTTGTCTTATGTTGAATCTGGTGTGGAGAAGACGAACTGACATCCTCGCTTCTATCTTCCATTTCCACGGCTTGTTCAACAGCATGAATGTGATCGTTGGCTCTGGAAGAAGTACTCATTGCCCTCTTCTTTGCGGCATCGCGGTGCTCTAAATCTTCTCGGCTTTCCACACCTCTTTTATCATTGGATCTGGAGAAATGCAACTTAATAATCAATATATAATTAAAAATAATAATAATAATAATCCATTTATATAGCGCCTTTTGTACAAGATTCAAAGGCGCTGTTTACAAAAAATTAGATAGAACTAAAAAGTAAAAATAATCACAAGAATCTGACATTAAAACTAGACGCTAACTACAAAATAGATAAATGTACAAAATAGATAACAAATCAGATAACAAATAAAAACATCACGATTCATAAGCTCGCATAAAAAGAAATGTTTTAAGTTTCCGTTTAAAATCATCAATTGAACTTGCAGATTTAATATCCTCAAGTAAGTTATTCCAGAGTTCCGGAGCAGCAACAGAAAAAGCTCGTTTACCATACGAATTGAGATTAAAATAGGGTTTAACTAATAAATTCCTATTAGAGGATCTAAGATTGCGGCTGGGTGTATACAATTGAAGGAGTTCCTGTATATAGATAGCAGCTCGATCATGTAGTACTTTGTAAGTAATTAACATAATTTTAAATTCAATATGAAAGGAGACAGAGAGCCAGTAAAGATCCCTCAGGACTGGAGTAATATGGCAAAATCTTGGACACTGGTTGACAAGGCGAGCGGCAGAATTTTGAGCATGTTGAAGCTTCCGAATAAGATAGGATGGTAGGCCGTACAATAAAGAATTACAATAATTAAGTTCAGAAACTACGAAGGCACGAATAATGCTCTTTAGCATCATAAGTAAGATATTTGCGTATGAAACCAATGTTACGAAGATGGAAAAAGGACGATTGACAGACTGCATTGAGGTACCATACAAAGGAACTGATCAAAGATAACTCCAACATTGCGTGCACTGGGGGAGCAGGATACAGTCTCATTACATATATCAACAGAAGATAGTGGTGGCCGAGGTCGATAGGAAGAGGATATTACGAGAACTTCGGACTTGTCTTTATTTAATTTCAGCTTGTTGAAAAGCATCCATGCGTCCATGTCCCGAACACAGTTTACCAATTTGGCGTTACTCAGATTCATATCACAAACAGACGACGTCCTGAAAGTAATATATAGCTGAGTGTCATCAGCATAAAAGTGATAGAAAATTTGATGACGTGGAGCAATCTCGCCAAGAGGGGATGTGTACATTGAATATAACAACGGGCCAAGAACGGATCCCTGCGGTACACCAAACTCAAGAACATGAGAAGCAGAGCACGCACCACTAACCTGCATAAACTGTGTACAATCAGAAAGATATGATCGAAACCATTCCAATACAGTTCCAGTAATTCCGAAGCGATTGGACAGTCGCGAAAGAAGGATACCATGATCAACAGTATCAAATGCAGCCGAAAGATCGAGAAGTACTAGGATAAATGAAATATGTTGATCTATTGCCATGGCTATGTCATTGTGGACTCTAATAAGAGCCGTCTCTGTACTATGGTTTCTCTTATAGGCCGATTGATATGTTTCACCAAGGTCATTAATATCTAAGTATTGAATCAGCTGTTTAGCAACACATTTTTCAGTAGTTTTGGATATGAAACGAAGATTAGAAATAGGCCTATAGTTCTTGAGGTCGTTAGAATCGAGAGAAGGCTTTTTGAGCAATGGCTTAAGTATAGCTTGTTTACGTATTCCAGGCATCCGACCAGTTTTCAAGGAAAGGTTGACAATCTTGTGTATTACTGGGAGAATAGAAGGAAACAGACATTTAAGTACATGACCAGGAACAGGATCTAAATCACAGGACTTAGGGGTAGTTGAGCCGATGATACTCAAGAATTCACCCGGTGGAACAGTCAAAAATATGTTCAGTTGACAGCCTGTAGTACCGTTATCTACTGAAGTAAATTATTTCCAGACCATCTTCTTCACTAAAAGCAAACGACAAACATTATGAACAGCATTTGAGCGCGTTACTGAAAAAAACGAAAAAGACGCCCAAAACTATAGAAATATATACCTGCCAGTCTTTTTACATCCGATCAGAATGGCAGCAATAATGATTAAGAGCACTCCACCACCCACCGAAGCCCCAATAATAACCTTCGGTGGTTTTAACTTTCCGTCGTTTTCCTTGTCGCTTTCCCTGTCGTTCAGTTGCTCTATGTCCGACGATAAAGGATCGGCACTTAAGATTTCACCTCCAATAGATGTTTGAATGTTCTCTTTATGGTCCATCACGATCTTACTCAATACTGTCTCAGGGACAATATTGCTTTCAAAAATTCCTCTTGGAAGACGCAAGTACAAGGCGAGTAAGATTATTTCAGGAGAATCGTCTGACCGTTTGGGATAACCAGGGAGAATTTGAACCATGTCAGCCGTAAATGTGACGTTTGCAGACGAACGCCTTCGTCTAAAAAAGTAAACATTTCGTACATGTAAATAATGAGAAAATAAAAAAGAAACAATATAAGGGTAAGGTTATTGAAAAATAAGTATTAAAAAACTGACCAAAATAATTGTGGTGGTGTTGGTGGTGGTGATGGTGATGATGATGATGATGATGACATTGGCCGATTTAAAAACAATGTTTTTTTTTAATAATGCTCTTATTGCTTTCGTCTATAAATGCTGTTTGTTGCCATCAATACTGAAAAATTAGAGCTATTCTTTATGAGAATAGAAACATGAAGGAGAAACCTGACGAAAGCCATTGGCAAGGATTTAAAGGGAGAAAATGTTTACAAAAGGACTTTAAGGCCGTTAATGAAGATGTGATCATCACAGTGGTAATTTCAATTTAAGCAATTGCAAACTTGAAACGAAAGGAAATGTTCACAATATGATTTTAAGGACCATTTAGGGGCCATTTTATCTGGGCGCTAGCTAGTTCCCAAGCTATAGAACTTTTTTACTCACGTGGCCAACAATTATGTGAATTTATTGTAACAAAAGACAGCATTTACATAATTTGACCTGTAACATGTGAGTGCTTTCAATGTGTTAAACGTATATCGAATAACTTAAAATTCGATTATCACCTAGTGATGTAAGAGTTCATTCGTGTCTTGCAAGCAAAAATAAACAAAACCATTCACCTTGATTGATTTGGGAAGCACTGAGCTTTAGCACAATATTCCCTCGCTGCTACTACAACTCGGTGTTTGAAAGATTGCTCCATGTTTTGGTCCCACTGATAAATAATAACAGAAAACAAAAACACTCAGGCATGAGTAAAACTAGCCAGAACAACAGCAAACGAAAGAATAATAATCATAATCATAATCATAATCATAATCATAATCATAATCATAATCACAATCACAATCATAATCATAATCATAATCACAATCATAATCATAATCATAATCATAATCATAATTGTAATAACTACTAATAAAAATTATGATTTGATTTTTTGCTCTGAAATATAAGGAGTTGGTCTACCTTCAAAAGAAAATGCGTAGCAAGGGTGAGACGTGGACATTGCATTATCGCTGTTAAGATTGACATCACCATGGTAACTTGTTGCGTGACCAAGTAACGCTTCACTTCCGTATTTTTTCTTTAAGGCAGGGTTGTAAAACGTTTACTGAGCACTTTTGTTGGTTATATTTTTACCTATCTAAAGTACTTCCAAATGTAACTTAAATAGTGGTTTGCCGACTTTTAATGAAAGTTTTCTAGCCATCACGTGACAGAAATATCGTAACATTTTAATGACCACGTGACCTAGACATGCCTTCCAGTTAGTATCGTACAGATCCCGAAGCGCAAAACACTGTAAGCCTTAGTTTTTAAGTTAAAAATTGTAATTGGACACCTAAATGAGTCACAAGATCATTACTTGGCAACTTTCAATTTGTATTTCCAAAAAAAAGTTCCACCCCTACCCCCTGGAATTTCCGTAATTTTCCAGTTTGTTTGGGTACCTCCCGGAAAGAACATTTCCGTTAAAAATGCCGTTGCACAATACTTTTATGCGAAAGACATTTTGGGGATAAAGAGAGAGAGGAAAAATATTTTTATCTATGTTAATACAGTGTCAAATAATCTCAGTTTTGCCTTTCTTAGTTAACTAGTAACAGTTGACACTACAGTCTTCCCTACTCTGTATATCGTCGGTCAACAGTATTCTTGGTCGTTGTGTAGCTCTTGAAATATACGATTCATAATGAAGATTTTCACACATATTCCATAAAATAGGCGGGAGTAAAAACAGGAAACGCAAGGTTCCATGCACTGTTTCAGTTCGATTTACGGAGATTTGGTCTGAAAACATTCTCAGTTTCGAGAATATTTTATTCTCAACCACAAGAAAAGATTTCATTAGACGTTGAAATTTTTCGCTATTTCTCTTTCAATTTTTACATACAGTTCATTTTATTTGCCGGAAAGTAAGCCTTAGAGATTTAAGGTTTGATTAATTCACGCTCGCGCGTTCTAGTCGTTTTTTTAGACTTTATAGACCGACATCTGTGAGCAAGAACTATGTCAGCACAGAATTAGATTTTCGGAGAATTTCTGTAATCGTCCATCGTTCTGCTAGTGATAAAATAGCCGTTGATTTACTCGTCTTTCTTTTTTGGGGGGACTGAGTCTTATTCCTCCAGAGAGAGAGAAAGAGTGCCTGGGAAATTGTTTCCAATCAAAGATTTGCGATTTCGTATATGGCAAACTCCCCAAGTGTTTACATAAACACAGTTATGCGCATGTTATAACTTCGGCTGCCCTAAACGAGTGTCTTTTAGTCTGTAACTTTTAAAAACAGCTGGTTCACCCAGTGTCACTGATAACACGCAACGCTGGTAAATGTCACAAAATCTACCAAAGCGGTCCTTTCGAGATTTTTTGTTTTACGTCATGATAACCATCTATTAATTGCGGGCGCGAACAATAGAAACGTCATCATTACCTACCTATTCCTCGCGGCCCCTGTTTAAGCAAATCGAGATTGTTTCTGGCATATACTGATTATATACTGCAACTTTAAGTACTTACAGTTGAAATATATTTCGCGCGAGTCACTAGATTGCCTCCTCGGGATTTCGCTTTCTGCACGCGAAATCCCTGCGGGGGGCAATTATTAACGGTAAGTCACTGAGAACCATGGGGAAGGTATGGCCGTAAACGACACAAGTGATGCCATCCGACAAACCAGTGAACTTCAATTATTTCATTCAGTAAAAAACATGTCAGAAGAAGGCTTATAAGAACATGACCATAACATACAATATATTGTGTATCAAAGCAACAGATAGATAACTGGAAGTTTATCCCTGAGCCGACGACAATCGTGTTACATAAATTATTGTGCAAGCCGTGAAAACAGTACTCAGTCGACCGATTCATCTACTCTTGCTCTGAAACTCCTATTAACAGTACAAAAACTTACAGCTTGCTCATCAATCTTACTCGGAGCCCTCGGGAAAAAGACTCGAGAGGCGACCCCCACTATCTTAGAAATTGCTTGCTTTTGGAACACCCCCCTTTCCCCCCTGAATTTCCGTTGCCTTTTGTGGGGAGGGGAGGTAAAGTATGGATATTTTCTGGAAATACACAGTCAGACTTAATATTTACAACGCGTTTTAACTCTCACCTAAGTTTGGTGTCAATACGTTGCATATTTACGGAGATAGACCACCCCCTTCATTTTTTTCTTTCTTTTTTTTTAACACACTTTAGATGACTCAGTCCTTAATTTACCTAGACCATCCATAAAGTAGTGCAGATATCTTTTTTTTTAAGCTTACAAGCTTCCTTTGTTATTTTTCTACATTAAAATACCCATAGTTCCTTTTAAGGTTGAGAAGAGATAGCGAGATAGCAACTTGTGTTATTCCTGTAATACCAATTAAAAGTAATAATAATAATAATAATAATAATAATAATAATAATAATTTTACATAATAATAAGAACAATGAGCTGCAGTTTGTGGACAATCTATTTTGGGTACTACTAAACTCACTGACATAAAAAGAACTACCTTTTCTAAATCCATATTCTTGACCTTCAGCATAACTGATTCTCTCATCACTTGTTCTGATGGCGTTTGTATAATGGGTGTGTTTGTACTTGGTTGTAACGTTGAACTATCTGCAGTTAGCGCTGTGGAAGCATTTTGATTTCCGGCTGGATAAGTACTTGGCGGTAACGTTGAACCATCTGCAGTTGGCGTTGTGGAAGCATTTTGATTTCCGGTTGGATAAGTGCTTGGCGGTAATGTTGAACCATCTGCTGTTGGCGTTGTGGAAGCATTTTGATTTTCGGCTCGAAAAGTACTTGGCGGTAACGTTGAACCATCTGCAGTTGGCGTTGTGGAAGCATTTTGATTTCCGGTTGGATAAGTGCTTGGCGGTAATGTTGAACCATCTGCAGTTGGCGTTGTGGAAGCATTTTGATTTCCGGTTGGATAAGTGCTTGGCGGTAATGTTGAACCATCTGCAGTTGGCGTTGTGGAAGCATTTTGATTTTCGGCTGGAAAAGTACTTGGCGGTAACGTTGAACCATCTGCAGTTGGCGTTGAGGAAACATTTTGATTTCCGGTTGGATAAGTACTTGGCGGTAACGTTGAACCATCTGCAGTTGGCGTTGTGGAAGCATTTTGATTTCCGGTTGGATAAGTGCTTGGCGGTAATGTTGAACCATCTGCAGTTGGCGTTGTGGAAGCATTTTGATTTCCGGTTGGATAAGTGCTTGGCGGTAATGTTGAACCATCTGCAGTTGGCGTTGTGGAAACATTTTGATTTTCGGCTGAATAAGTGCTTGGCGGTAACGTTGAACCAGCTGCAGTGGGCGTCGAATGAGCATTAGCTAAAAGATGTAAAGTGTGGAAAGGTTAAAGCTAGTGAAGTCTTGTGTTAAAATAATAAAGGAGGTTAAACCCCAAATATGTTTTTTGGTGCATCAACATGGACGCCGTCTCCTTGTTTTGGCACACCAATATGGCCGCTGTTATCATGCAAAAACGATTTAGAAAATTAGCAATATTAATAATAATAATAATAATAATAATAATAATAATAATAATAACAATAATAATAATTATTATTATTATTTTTATCATTTTTAAACTCTTGCATTTTGTATGATAATAATAAGAACAATGATAAAAAGTAAATAGATAAAATAAAATAAAATAAGCTAACTCTAAAATCCTATTTACAATTAATTTCGCTTAAGATGATTCGCTGGTTTTTTGAAGGCTGCATAGTTACGGAAGCAGAAACTGAAAAGGAGAACGAATTAACCGCAAGCAAAGTTGTGTTAGTTTAGAATCCCAAGCGGAAGGAATGAACTTGTTGGCTATACATAGGGTGTTTACCATTTACATGGGCAAACCGGTTGGTCCACGGTTTGGGCAAATGGTCATAAGTCTGGACTGGAGAAATTTGGCTCAGAATCGCGTTTACCATTTGTACAAATCAGTTCCATTTACCGAAAACGACCGCGAAGGCCTGAAACTGGTCTCAATTTAAAGGTGGCTCTGAAGAAATGGAACACGAATTCCGATTGGAATATTCCGTCCGGAAAAACAGGACTACCTTTTCAGATGTTCGTTATTCCCGGAAATTTTCCGATGGAACGACCCAAAAGGTCGTGTTCCATTTTCTTTAAAACCGGATTTTCCGGAAACTTTTTGTAAATGGTAAACAACCAGAGAAACTCAGGACCACCGAATTTCAATAAATGTGCTGCAATGATTTCCAAACGATCGCAAGCCACTTTGAAACAGTAATAAGGCTTATCAAGCTCATTCTCTCTTGGGTTTATTCATGGTGAAAATGCACTTAGTTTCCCAGCTAGCTAACAAGCACCCCATTAAAATAATTAGAAACGTACAAATAGAAATAATCTAAACAGGAAATATGACGATCAAAACAAAGACAGCAACAGCAACAGCGACAACAATTGGCAGTTAAAATCGAGGCCAGGTATTTGAATTCGGGATGGCCTAAAAATAAATCCAGTTAGCAGTCGGAGAGAGATTAGAACCCGGGACTGCCAGATTACACTAAAAAGCACGAGCCACACAGCTATAGAGCCGCCTCTCGTGTTGAAGATAATTTTGTGCTTTTAATCTTCATATTAGCTTTAAACGAAACATGTACCAAGTATTTTAACGTCTAATCAACAAGAGGACTATTTACTTCCACTGCTTTGATTTGTCGGCAGCACGGTTGGACTATTACAGCTTCCACTGGTGATTGCCACATCATCGATAGCTATATCTCCTGTATATGAAGACCCCGCAATACCTTCGAAGGTTATCTATAAATAAATAAAATATATACAAAAAATAAATGGAAAGTATTCAAGTACTTGAAAAGTCAAACAATTGGATCGCTGCTAACCAAGGGTCATAGGGTCGACGGTGGACTTTTAATGCCAGGAAGTACTGGGACTTTTTCCTCAAAGCCACCAGTGTCAGTGACTGAAATATCGTAATCTTTCTAATAATTTCACTTTTTCGTGCGAATAAAGCACAAAAGATCTTGAAAAATATCGTGAGAGGGTTTGGCAAGATCATTTGATAGACTAACCGCTTACTAACCAAGCGGGAGGGCCGTGCTGGGGAATATTGGCCCGAGGTCGTGGCAGTGCGGACCGAGCGAAGCGAGGTCCGTACTTCCACGACCGAGGGCCAATATTCCCCAGTACGGCTCGAGCAAGCTCAGTTAGTAAGTTGTTTATTATATGGCACGCTGTTTCTGATAGTAAAATGCACTTCCAGTGGCTTGCACTTAAAGGGCTTCTGCTGTGACGTAATCGTGATGACTCGAGCTACTCAGACAAAAGCAGCTACCACGAGTTGGAAAAACAAATTTATTGAATGTGAAATCGTCTAAAATTATTTTAACCAAAACTTCAAAAACGCTTTGTAACGGAATCTGACAAAAGCAGTTGTTGATTCTAAAATTCGAGCGAGGGTTTTTTGTCGATTTGGTTATAAAATATAGATCAAGTCAGTGTCAAGTGAAGCTGTGAAAATTAATTCAAAACTGGGCAAAGATGATAAAAAATAGCTTTAAATTCAATCGTCTTCATCGCTCTCGATAACAAACCGACGCTTCCTTTCATTCTGGAGAATTTTCACATTCATTTGCCATGAAATATTTGGAATGTGCACCCGCTGATGGATCCTATATCTGTAAAAAGTGGCGCGTTGGAAGACAGTAACGGATTGCTTAACTGATCAATCAATGTATTTGTGGTCGAACTCGCAGCGATGTCTGTAGTCGAGCGAGTTACAACTTCAAACCCTTGATTATGGACACTTGATAAAGCTTCATCTCTGGATCCAGAAAGATCAGCTCTGCTGAGGGTCAAGGACATCCTCTTTTGGTGTTCAGCACTGGCGGACTTCTAGGACTGTAAACTCTCCGTGCTTTTGTGGCCACTCAGTTGGGCTACAAAGTTCTCTGGAACATAAGCATCAAGGAGCCTCGAAATACAGGTTTCCTGACAGATTTATTGGTTCCTTTTTTTCCCTCTCTGTGGAGGCCAGCGTTCTTCACTGTAGTGGACAGAAATTTTATTTTTTTCAAGGGGTGCCCCCACATACCAAACTTCATTTTCTGATCGTCGATTATGCCAGACCGTCAAGGAAAATGGTGATTCTGGTGCGTTCATTAAGATTTCCACTGGCCGGTGACTGCGGAATTTTTTTGTAAAAACTGACAGGACATCTCGCTGTATTGGTGGCATAAATCTTTGGTTGAAACGATCTTTGGTGTCCTCTGTCCTGATCATGTCGGGTTTTTGTGCCTTGGTCGGCCAACCAAACCAAGACTTCTCGGCCATCATTCTACTGTTGAAGCTAAACGTCACCCCAGCGTAACTTACGACTTTTGTCTCTTGCTCGGAATCCGAAGTGTAGGGATAAAAACTACCACACAGTTCTTTGAAGTTCCTTTGCCGTGCTCGTGAACAAGTGACTTTCGCTTCGCTGCAAGGACTTTTCTGGATTTTTCGGACTCATTGTCCTTGAGTATGTTAAATGGGTATTTATTCTCACTAAGTATAGCGGTATACTGCGCTGAAACCTGGAAACTGTGCTGGCTCCTACTCTTCTCCATTTTTCTTGCGTGCGTTCCAAAAAAATTTCAACAAAAGGTGGTCACGCTCGAACGCAGGTAAGCTTTCAATTTTCTCATTTTTCATACCATTAGCTTCCAGGTAGCGGATAAGAGTGTTCATATCAGTAGCCGTCTTCTTGTTTGTGTTTGCACTTTTCTGTTGGTTGATAAAATCGTCTGTGGCCTCCTGGCTTTCGGTTATGCCTGTTTCAGTTTCTGCATCAAAAGTTTCCAGATCTTCAGGATAATAAAACTCGCTTGGAGAATGTTTGTCGTCCTCATGATCTTTGAAATTTCCGGAAAAAATCAATCTTTTTAGCTTTTTCTGGTAGTTTCGCTGTGAAGAATGACAATATTCACATTTTTTTTTGTTTTTTCGCTGCTTTGCTCCAAAACAAAAAAACACGGGTTGGCCCATTTCCATGGAAACGGCTCGTAATGCAAAATCCTGACAGAGAAAGAACCAATAAGAGCACAGGGATTTGCCTAAGACTGGCTTTGCCATATAATAAATCCTGTTACTTAATTAGGATTTTCAACCGATTTCTGAAGATTTTCAAGGATTTCTGAAATTTGATAAATACCAACAGTCGTGATTTCTTGAGAACCAAAATGTATTAAACTTACATTGTTTCGCAAATATATCGTTTTCCTTGCTCGTATCCAGTAGTTACCCTGGTTGGCAGATACATTGAAAACCAACTCATTTCCGCTATAAACATTAAGAGTTCCTATGGTATCACCATACATGTGATAATAGAAAACGAGACAAGCTGCTGTGCCATTTCCAGAAACTGACACTTGAAGTTTTGCGTTGTCACCTCTTTGCCTAGGAGACGACGTCTCTATATACATGTAGTATCCTGCAAGAGTATAATGATAATAAATAATGATACTGTGAAAGATTTGAACCAAGGAGTCTTTTCAAAAGTAGGTTGCGTTTGATCGTCCTGGTGAATGTAGTCCTATTCTAGAACAAACGCCACTGAATCGTAGTCAATAGTTACAGGCACCGCACAAACGACTTATTGTCAGAATCAAGTAAAATTAAATACGAGATAGACTTTCTTAAAGTCCTTCGCTTCTCGTTTTCGGTTGGGGCAGTAGGCCCCAGTGTGAAGGACTTTTATTCCCCCTCCCTCCCGCGCGCCAAATTTACAGCAGGATTTTTCCTCCTTAGATTTTATCCAATCACGAACGGTTTTCACTGTTGCGCCGTCAATCAAGCCCGACACGTCACATGAAACGTAACTTGAGCTGTTTTGATCAAAATTCAAATTGAGACGTTTGGGTATCTTACATTGCATCAGTTCTTTATTATTTCAGGTTGTATTAATTCGATTTCGTGTTCAAGGTCTCCTATATGATAAAAAGCTGAGAGTCATGTGTTCTATCAAGGCTGTCATCGCGTATGGGCTACGGAGAGCCTTTGAACTAAAAGATGCTCGCGAACAAGAGGAGAGAGAGAGAGACCACTAAGCGACTCCGACAAGAGTTTCACATTTGAAATTTACCCTTGTGTTTTCGATTTATTACGGTCTGGGGAAAGAGACGATTGTAGATGTCGATCCTTTGATTTGATCTTCGCTGGCAGCTGACGGTTAAAAGCGCATTGAGCACGTACGCCGAGAAGTTTGTCTAACTTTAAGAACATTTTTTGTTAGTTTTTCGTTCCTATCAGAACAGATTGGGCAGATTATTTGTGATTGCTGTTCCGACTGATAAATACACGACCGACGAGAAATTTCAGATCATAATTAAAAAAGTAAGTTTTCATTTTCCTACTGTAAACAGTCGCCTCCTTAGGACAGGATTCTTTACTGATTCACATTGTTGACAAACATTGTAGGGAAAAGCAACGCGCACTAAAGCTTTAGTGGGCGTTCTTTCTGTGTGAGACTAGCAAGGGCCGGATTTTCCAAGCAGAAAGAAAAAAAAAAACGAACTTCTTTCATTTTGACATAATTTACGTTAGCAGCTCCGCTCAGTCTGGACGCAAATAGCTCGCGCTAAAATGACGTCACTTGGGAAACAAGTCGAGCTCCCGCTCTCTCGCTCGCTAAGCCACACTGAAAACATAACAAAAATTCTAGCTCGCGCTTTGCGCTCGAGGAAAAAAAATGTAGCTCCACTTTTGGGTAAGTCTAACTACAAGAGAACGACTGGACAACTGACAATAGACCTTTGTCACTGGGCGGCCATTTTGTCTCAGGAGATTGAAAAAGCTTTGTTTATGCACTGCTAGCCTCGCTCTCTCAACAAGGCTAGCCGCGTGCATAAACAAAGCTTCTTAAATCTTCTGAGACAAAATGGCCGCCGCGTGACAAAGGTCTATTTGACTAACAATAGACAGCTGTGACAACAGACGGATCGAATCGCACCAACGACATTACGAGGCTTCATAGCCAAAAACATAACGGTTGTGACTAGAATGGATACCTCAAAATAAGGTTGGACACTTTATGTTTATTACACAACGCTATACACTATACCACGCTAGTACAATGTTTAGGCGAATTTACTGGGCACGAGAACTTTTGGAAAAGTGGGGAAATCATAATAAGAGACAGTTGTGCAGGGAAAGTAGTTGAATACAGGGTTTAGCACCAAAGTACAGTGATTAGGGTTAAGCACTGTTTTAAAAACGGTAATGATCAACGCCATGTAAAGAACGTTAAAATTAACCGGTCTCGGCAGTTAACCCCTGATGGTGTAGTGGACACGGATATGTATTTTACATCAAGTGACGCGGGCTGAAGTCCTCCATACAACCCACTAGTTTCTTCTGTTTCTTTCTTTTCTTATTTACTAATTTAAGTTATAAGACTCCTATCGTATTTTGAGTGAAGTTGACAATCTGACTTTGGGGTATCTATTCTAGTCACAACAACAATAACATAACGGCTTAGCTGACAGACGACAAATAACATCGCGACTTTTTAGTGACCAATTAGGTCAATAACCAGAGTACAATACCAGCAACCGACGTGCTCACCTTGACTCTGAAGATGAGTACCGCACAGGTCGACGAAATGTCAGTCACTGTCAACAACAGTCCAATTCAGGACTACATTCACCCACGACGGTCAAACTCGACCTACTTTTAATAATGATACTGATGAAGATAAGAAGTTTGTGTACGAATCATTAGTTAAACCTCGTTGGCAATAATATTGATGTTAAATTCAATCAAATATTTCAGGAAACGTGCTCAGAGTCGAGACAGCTTTGTTGTGTGGCTTTGATCGATTAAAAGTTTTAGTTGAAGTACCGAAACATTTGGGTTTCAAGTAAATTTTACCAGAAATGACTTCCCTGTTAACTATTTTGTTTATGTTCCTTCATAACAGTAGTTCAAGGAACGGTGGTAAGGCAACAGCAATTTACCATAATACGGACAATGGTTGATTCGGGGAAAGAAAAACTCAAACGCAAGTTTTTTGAAAGGCATGATTTGTTAACGCAAGGGTAGATTACAGCAACCATCAACTCGTTTCCAGTACCGATGACTGACTCGACAAAAAGCGAATGGAATATCTTCTCTTTTCACTATGTTATAAAAGAAATGGTAAGCGTTGCAGTTTTGCAACCCTCGAGTTATGTATGCACTTGGGAGGTTTCCTAGGCTCTCAAGAGGCTGTAGTTACTCTCGGCTACGCCTCGATTAACTCTTACGCTTCTTTCGTTCCTAGCAACCTCCTGCGTGCATCCGTAACTCGATGGTTGCACGTTGCACGTTGCACGTTGCACGTTTACCATTTCTTAAGTTGTATTTACTGATTTTTGTTTTGTATTGTTTGTTTGTTTGTTTTTTTTTTCTTTTTCATCAAGCTTCAATTAAACTGAATCCATTTCAATGCATTTAGAGATGGGCTTATATCTGGGTTTGAAAGGGGGGGGTGGGGGGAATCGGATGTATTCTTTTCTTGCGGGTAGGTGGGCCTCGCTTGTAATTTTGGAAGCTTACAAGCAGCACTTTATGGCATAGTCAAATTCCTTTCCTTTCTGTTACATAATTAGATGACAGAGTGCCTTTTAAAATTATTTACGGTACTCATGTAGATATGTTCAGTATTGTATGTACCGTTCCCAGTAGTGTGATCTGATGGAGGCCCCGTATTTGAAGATGAAGTACTTCCTCTTTGGCGTGTCCAGTCAAATATGTCTGAGGAAGACTGACTCCATCCATAACACAATCCATAGTCAAAGTTACAAGATGCTTGCGCTGTTGGTATAAAGAAGTTGCTTTTTTTGTTAATTTATCACGAATTTGTAGTTCAGGCGGTAGCTGTATGCTACACGCTAACAAACAAACAGACACCTACAGTCTTTAAAAAATAAACAAACAATAATAATAATAAATGAAATGATGTGTGTGGAGAGAAGAACACAGAAAAAAATTCTGAGTTCCAGATGGGAATTGAACCCACGAGCTTCCGTACACTAGTCGGATGCTCTAACCACTGAGCTACTGAGAACTCTTTGGTGAACTCAGTGGTGAGCAGGTCAATCGTGGGCTGACATAACTACCGAATCGCGCAGTCACGTTAATACTCTATAAGCAGAGAATAATAAATGAAATGATATGTATGGAGAAAAGAACACAGAAAAAACAAACGAGCCCCCCCCCCCAAAAAAAAACAAACAAAAAAAAGAAAAACATGTTTAGATCTTTTTCCTCACTTCTATTACTAATGTATTTTCCATGATATTGCTTGTACAATGTGCGCGCTTCAAATAAACATTGATCTAATTATTTTTTCCACAGCATTTATATCAGAATGCTCTAAAGAAATTATCGGCGCTATTCTAAGCGAAACCCACATAATATGACCATAATGTGAGCCTTATTTACTGTCTCGTACGACGTACCTTCTGAGCATATCACCGATGCATCTTCACTGTGACCACAGTTATGGATACCCCATCCGTTGTGTCGACAATAAACTATAGACCTTTCATTTCCCGAGCATTCAACATTGTCCAGCCAAATCTGTCCACTTCCGGCACCGAATCGGGCAGACCCCGGGGCGCTTATCGCTCCTGGAAATCCAAGCTGGCGACAAACAACTTGCGCTTCATATATACCCCAGGAGTCATCACAAACAGTTCCCCAGGTGTTATTATGATATACTTCAACTCTTCCTTCCCAGCTTCCAGATCCTCCCACCAGTCTTAGACCTGAAGTCCCCCAAAAATAAAAAAAAAAAAGGTGAGTGAAATGTATTTCGTTATTTTCTCTTGTAGATAGTGTCTACTGCCTCCCTGTAACTAGTTTAAAATGTTTTATATAGAAACAATCAAACCTATTCGATGGGAATTCATGGAATGTTGATTAAAAATATACTAAATAGTTAAAATTAGATAGACTAATTTGATATTGGTAATGTTGTGTGTGTATCATGTAAGTGCGTTTCTTTTCCTTCTATATTTCTTCTTTCCTCTCTTTTAAAGCCATTTAAAACGTGGTATATGTATTCAACGGATATAAACTATGTTTTTTTTGTTTAGTTAAAGAACTTAATGGAACTGGTAAAAAAGTATTGGGGGGGGGGGGGGGCCGAAGCAGAGAGGGGTGGTTCATGATGTTTTGAGCCTTGTGCAAGGGGTGGGTTGTACAATTCTCAGCTACCCTTAGGGGGTGGGTTACCCTATTTTATTACATAGATAGGAACACATTTAAATACTAACGAGGCAGTTGATCACACTTGTTATATAAAACACAGTCAGCTGGAATTATTACTAAAATACATTCAAACCTGTTGAGAGAGAAAATGCAAGGGGTGACAGGCCTCACATGTATACCGGAGTGTATACGTTTGTTAGGGAGAAATTTAAAAACTAAAAGGATGTATTTGGTGGCCATAGCGCTTTTCTTCATTCCAGAGAGTTAAGTTCGGCACCATCTTATCCGACGTCTGAATCAAATGCGGTATTTAATTACTTTCATCGAGTAAAATAGGTGTTCGGCACTCATAAGAATTTCCACATTTGAAAGGGGCCTAACATGACATAAGTTTCAGCTTATTGGTTTGCAGGCTGTTATTAAGTTCTTGTTTTCTTTTCAGTAAGAACAATTTGTATCTCTCTTGTAAATCTATTTCATTAATCGGCTTGTGCCGCGACTTAAGAATCAGCCGTAACAGTTGATTTTACTTTATCTTTGACATGAGTTGTACGTCATTGGACACGATTTGCATATGAAAAAGGGCAATCAATTTTCACCCATCCATTTCAATAAAAGCAAATGAAATCACTTCTCACCATAGCGGAGAACCTCGAGGCGTGACTTTGTCGTGTAAATATGCGGCACCGAAGGTTTAAGGCTTAAACTAGAAGCTTTATATATTGTAAAATAATTATAATTTATTTTTACCGTTATAACTTGTAATAATAATAATAATAATAATAATAATAATAAAAATAATAATAGTAATCACCAATCTTTATTTAAGTATCAGAACAATAAGTAATATTTACAGTTTTAAACTATATCGTATTGTTTACAAATTAAAAACTAAATATATGTACGTCCACGATAGAAAAACTATTCACAATTGTGAATAATTTAAAAGTGGGAAAAGGAAATTAAGAATTACTAAGAAAAAAACTATCAAAAATCTAGGCCTAAAATTATGAGTGTAGGTGTAGACCAGCTACGGCGAAAGTGAAGTCTTGTGAGACCTCACGTGATTTGAATGGATATCTAGAACCTCTGACGCATCTGTTTACAGTTCTTAATATAGCAATAATAATAATAATAATAATAATAATAATAATAACTAACACAGACTGTACCTGAGGTGCTAGAAGGAGGTGGAGAAGGGGTAACAAATCCATTCATTTTGTTGACTATCCAGGATTTTAAGTTTCGAACGTTAGCATAGACGGTTGGCTTCGATGGGGAGGCACAAGGCAGGATCGTCCAGCTGGCAGCTCCTTCAAGATACCATTTACCACTAAACTGGCACACAAGTGGCCCTCCGCTATCACCATGACAGGCACCCTGACCTCCCTGGGCTTTCCCAATGCATATCATGGAGTCGTCTATTTTCCCCGGGTAATAATTGAGACAGCGGTGCTTGGAAACGAGTGGTAAATCAACCTGCATCAGTGCGTTTGGCTGTGGACCTGCGTCGTAAATTGTTCCCCAACCAGTGATCCAACAGGGCTTGTCAGAATTATCAAATGGAAGCTGAAGGTTTGGATCTGAGAGACAAACTAGGCCCACTCCTTTTCCAAGCACGGCTGGTCTTGATAACCTTAGCAAGGCAATATCATTGCTATAGCTGTTCGGATAGTAATAGTTTTCGTGCTGGATTATCCTTACAACGTCAAAATCCTGTTCTGTTCCAATGGAGGACGACAATCTGTAATGTGCTCCCAATCTTTTGAGACAAACAGAAACAAAAACACAAATGAGGTACATCAACACAACGTAACATCCTGCTAATATGCGTGACATTTCTCGAGAAATCCCACGATTTTGTTGACAAATTTCTCCCAGGTAAATCGCGACTTCATCCTAAAAAAACATTTAAATTGACGAGCGTACAATGCACTTTCCTGACCATGTTAGTATAATTATCATGGTTACCAAGTAGCTAGAAAAGGTCCAGGTTGTTTTGACAAATTATTAAATTTTCTCTCTTACTAAGATTGTAGGGCTGTATATGAGGGTGATTACATTAAAAAAAAAAAAAAAAAAAAAAAAAAAAAAGCTCCTTTTAAGGGTAAAATCTGTCAAAAATGGGCAATTATACCATTTTTTAATATGTTCGAAATCCTAGGAGAGGCAGGCAGCAAGAAATTGTTACAACAAATGTTTCGAAAATTCTGGATCGTCTTCCGAACAGATATTTTCCGAAAATTGACGTTGGCTGTCCCTAAGTCCCCTAATGCACTCTTGAATAATTAGACTTTTTACTATTACCTTACTTTAACATCCGACAAAGACATGCTTCTTACACAGTGAGTTGCTGTTAAAACCCATTGAGGATGAATTAAAGATCCCCCACAGAACTGTCTACCACTGCTTGATAGTAGCATTGCCTGCCAGGGCCAGCCATTTACTGGTGCCTCGGACCCGTTGACAATACGAGGGGTACTGACACTGGGCCTTACACCGCATGTGACTGTAATGACAATACAATTATTAGTATAATTTATAAAGAAACATATTTTCCCCAAAATCGACACTATATGAATGTTACAAATAGAAGCCGGATAAATTAGATTAACGTTTGCTTAAGACGTTTTATTGGAGGGGAGGGGATAGCTGTTTTAGTATTCACCAAATTAGTTGGATTAAAATAAAATAATAATAATAATAATAATAATAATAATAAAAACATTACCTTCCTGTAAATTACAAGCGTCACTTAGCAGGAAATTTTCTTTCAATTAACAAACATTTTTGGGGATTTTGTCAAGTGCATTTTACGACTTTGTTGCAAAATTCAGTATGAAAATAATTTCTACCTACCAGTGAACACCGAAAAGCCAAAATTCGTCGCTTTCTTGGTATTTGTTTGTACGACTGCTTCAATTATCGCTCAAATTTCGTCTTCCAAAAATGTCTCGAAACGAGACGCCATCTTGGCTCCGGTTCCAAAACAGTGAATAGCCTAGGATATTCCGAGTTACGGGAGCCAGTCAAAACGAGTAAAAAATGCTCTTCACTGATTTGGTAAATACTAAATGTAGATAGCTCTAACCCCGAACTCCCCTACTATTTGTATCGAATTTGTCCATTTTTTTTTTTCAGACACGAATCAAATTAACTTTTGTTAAACATTTAAGAATAAAAATTAGCAAAAAAAGTTTGACACAACGTTTCGATGTCGCCATGACATCATTAACAAGTGACAAAGATAACTCAATATAGACAGTTAAAAGTCACAAAATAAAGAACAAAAGTAACATGTTTGCACGTGTAAATGAAAAAAAAAATGTGAAAATATCTTAAACAGGCAGTTTTGCCCGAATTTTACTTAACGGCAAAATTCAGATGTTTTAAGGACAGTGAATTAAGCTTTACGGACAGTGAATTAAGCTTCAATGCTCGTCGCCATATTGATGAGCATTATTTTGTTGGTCATTCTTTCCCCTTAAATAGTTAAAAATAGATAATTTAAAAACTTTTCTTAACACTAATAGATAAAAAACAACAACAAAAACAACAACAAAGGCACTTCCTCTCTTACGGTTTGTTGTCATGGTAGCTTCTGATGGAGTTTTATAAGGCTTCCCCACTGTGTCAATCCCAACGACCTCCACAGAATAATTTGTTGAATGAGTGAGTCCGTTGATTTCCGTTGTTGATCGATCTCCACTGACAATCTGATGCAATGTTACACTGTTATTTCTTCTGTTTAAGAAGACAATGTAGTGACGAACTTTACGGTTGAGAACTTTGGTAAGGTTTGTCCACCGAATCAATATGCTGGAGAACGTGGTGTTCTCTACTGTTAAATTCCAACCAAAAAGCATTTGGGCTAAATACGAGAAAAATATAAAGAATATAAACAAAGAGTCACCTAAGAATATATGAAGAATGAAATATCGATTAATAAAAGAGATATAAGAATCATGCTAAATAACAAGACTGCTTCGCTAAATAAGCTTCAAAATGAAGGACTTTTAAGCGACCAAACACATTTTAAGTAATAATAAGATCAAACAAAACGAACAAAAAATATCAAGTTGCTGCGTTAAAACTTCCGTCAAAAAATGCATGCCAAACTCTTTTTTCCTGATTTTTTTTTTTAATTAAAAAAATGGAAACTTATTTATTAGGTCAGGAAACTTACCACATAATGAAAAAAAATTAGGCTCTGCGTAATTTATTGAAACTGAAGGCCTTAAAGGCAATGAAGCCAATGGTTAATTATTCTTTTTAATTTCGACTATTTTTATTTAATTATTATTATCATTATTATTATTATTATTATTATTATTATTATTATTATTATTATATTTTTTTACAGGAGTTCACCTGTATGAACGCTTGTCCCCAGTATCAGGTAATCAGCTTTGATATTACTTCCCAAGAGACGCAAGTAGAAACTTGCTGTTATGTTGTGCGAGGCGAAAAACGGAACCTCTACCAATGATCCACGAACAGAGGATGAGCAGCCGCTTTGTTGAAATTTCAGAGCGCCATTGCCGTCAAAAATCTTGAAATGTTCACTGTGGTAATGATGACAGAAAACATAACGGCCCGTTTAGAGAATTTATAACTTTTCATGTATTCTTCATGTTCCTTTAGATAGTAATTATTGAGTCAGTTATTGCTAAAATATTTTCCGACTTTCTTTACTTGTTGCAGAGAAACTTTGTGCCTCACTTTCGTGTCCCAATAAACACACACATTATGTCCAGGATGACAGAAACGACACATTGGTAGCAGCAGGACGAAAATAGATATGAAAGTACTAGTGTGGTTCATAACAAGTACGTGAAGGAGACATTTTATGATATTTCACATCCCGTTTGAATGGTCCTCTGAGTTTTTGGTCCTTTAGCACAGATAATAAGAGCTATCTCAAATAACAGAAAGGCTGTTCTTGTAACCAACTCTAAATTCTAACACAATTACAATGGTTTAAGTGGCTCCTTCCCTCTAGAGTTCAATCATGGTTTTAACTATTAATAAAAATAGTTATGGTCCCCAACAGATAATAAAATAGTGCTATTTGAATTTAAGCATTGAGTTGCATTGGATTGAATAAAGTAGCAATATCAATTAATACCTGCAATATCCAAAGTTCATCTCCTGAATTAGCACTAGACCAATTGCTTGGGGAATACCGACATTCCCAATTGACCAGAAGCAGTACAAGCTGGTGTAATCAGAATGTGTCACATTTATACCGCCAGAGGATTGGTTGACCACCACCTTGCAAGCTGTAACGAAGATAATTAGAAGACAGTTTCGAGTCCGCTTTGAACGCTAAATAAAAACGCCCAGGATGCACTTTTATAGTCTTATTCTTTATCTTAAGAAAATATATTTAACAAATTGTAGAAAGAAAAACAATTCTCTGTTTTTTTTCTTATAATAATAACAATAATAATAATAATAATAATAATGATGATAATCTTAATAATGAAAACTTTATTGATAAGAAAGCCACTATAAAAACCTATTTACAATTTATTTCGCCCAGAAAACACTATTTACACTATGTTCAGTTAAAACACTATTTAAAATTCCTTTCGATTAAAAAAAAAAGGACACTTAATTTCCATTGTAAAAATTCATTCCGTTAAAAATATTTTATATATTCGAAAAAAAAAATTCAATTAAAAAACGGTTCATTTCAACTAAACTAATTTATGAGCTCACGCCATTAACACACACGCTTGGGGAGCGGCGTTTAAACGGCGTTTAATAATAATAATAATAATAATAATAATAATCACGATGTTATTTTTATTTGTAATTAAAAAATTGACCAAGACACAACGTAGGCTGACCGCCAAAGTTCATCTGCTGTTCAAAGCGCCTCCGGTCCAGAAAAACACTCTGTGCACAAATCATACCCCGCTCAGCTCTCCCCTACTCCTTCCCCCCTTGTTTTTGTTTTTTTTTTGTTCGTTTGTTTGTTTATTTGTTTTTTTTTTAATGGTGATGCCTCACGATTACAATTGGCTATTTTGCCTTAGGTTTTACCTGTGGTAACATAATAAAAAGAGGAACGCGGCCCATCTCCTTTTGATGTATACGCCGCCACAGAAACACCATAGCGCTGAGCCGGTCCTAGTCCTGTTATCAATGCCCATGTCATATTAGAACTGCTGATGACTAAACTGCTTGTATTAAATGGTATTAGAAAATAAGCGCTCCTCCTGAAGTAAACTCTATAGCCTAACAATTGGCCATTGTGAAACTGCTGAGGAAGAGGATTCCAAGTAACCTTGAACTGCGTTTCTCCTACTTCAGAGAACGTTATATTGTTAGGAGCAAGACCAGGAACTAGAGAGAAATACAACATGAAAAGCTGTTATGAATAAGTTATAAATCGGGATTTGGCAGGCAAGGTAACCAATGAAATAAAAACATACCCGATTCCTCAGTCCACTCTGTGACCTCTGAAGTCTTGTAAACATTTCCGTTATCATTTACACCAAGAACATTGAGTCGATATTCCATATACGGCGACAGTCCATACAAAACATCAGATGTGGTATTTCCTTGCAGGATATTTCCACTCACTATACTTCCATTGCCACTTTTTATGACAGTTAGATAGTGCAGAATGTTTTGGTTCAGCAATCTTGATAGATTTTTCCAGGAAACTCCCATACTAGTTGCTGTTTTGTTATCAATGGATACGTTCCAACTGGACACTAGCTGAGCTAAAAAGACAGCAATAAAGTTTATTAGTTAACGATGATGATAGAGGTTACAGCGATGGTTCAGTTTAAGAATGTTTATTAAAATTAAATTTCGCCACGCTATTTGCAACGCCCAAACGATAATTCTAGCTAGAACCCTGGTTTTTGTTGTTGTAAACTAGTGGAAGTTCCAAAATTTGAGTTTTCTTCGTAATGGGCTTAGTTTGAAAGCCGGCATTTGGATACACACATTTTTGTTGTTTTTGTCTTTTTATTTGTTTTTTGTTTCGTTTTGTTTTGTTTTGTTTTGCCAATTTCTGTTTATATGCTGCGGACTTTTTGTTAAAAACTATCAGTTTAGAAAATATGTATGAATGGAATAAATTTGGAAAATTGTCATGGTAACCACGACAAAAAATCAAGAAAAACTTAAGTGTAAAACTAAAATGAATTTTACGGGAATATACATGGGCAAAGAAAAGATATCCTCGAGTGATCCTCATTTTTATTTTTATTGTTATTATTATTATTATTATTATTATTATTATTATTATTATAACTATTATTATTATTATTCACTATGATGATGATGAGGCACTTTAACTTTACCTTTTACCTCTTATTTTGGTTGTTAGAATTAAGAACTTCAATCAACAAATGTCAGTTTATTACGCATAGGAAAAGTAAGTCTGTAAAATGGAGATCTGTGCTTTCTTTGGGTGTTGTACATGTATGATGAGAAATACTAACGCTCGCAATATTAATGTTATTTTAACTAAAATGATGAAACTAACCCGATTGTAATCCCTGCTGTACAATTCCGAATTGAAGCCTGACATTACTGTAACTACCATACAGATAGACTTGAACGGTGATATTCTCAGAGTTTCCAAAATTAACTTCCCTAAAAGGTTTTTGGGGAGTCGATGAGTATCCATAACGAATAAGCACAGTTGCACCGCTCCCATCCATTATTTTAACGTATTCACTGAAAAATAAAGAGGAAAAAAAATATATTTTGTCATTGATAGTGGTAACCTAGCTATTCTCGGCCATGTTTTTTTTTTGGATTTGTTTTTTTTTTCTCCTGGCCCGGTTCCCCGAAAGACGGTTAAGTTTAACTCAGGTTTAAGGCAAACTTTAAGCAGAATTTCCTATATAAGAACGTGCAACTCAAGCTTACAGTAACTGGATAACTTAACCATTACATAGGAAGGTAAAATACAAAAACGAAACAACGTTTTAATGCTGGATTAGAGCTTATCTGCCTTTCATCCTTCCACTCATCTATTCTCGCTGTCGTTTTATTCCCATATCTTTCCAACCCACTCAAATCATCCGTCCTTCCATCCGTTCATCTATTCAACGTTCAACACACAATAAATGATAATGATGATGATGATGAGGAGGAGGAGGAGGAGGAGGAGGAGGAGGAGGAGGAGAAGGAGAAGAAGAAGAAGAAGAAGAAGAAGAAGAAGAAGAAGAAGAAGAAGAATATCTAAAATATAATATCTTTTACAAGTTCTATATTTTGCAAAACCACCGCTCGACTTTGAACAAAAAAGAGAAAAAAATAAATCTTATTAATTCGCTATGGAAGACACTGCTTCATCTAACTCACTTGAAATATGACAGGTAGAGTTCTTGTACTGAAATAAGTGCAGCTGCTTGCTGGATTCCTACATTTCCAATTGACCAGGTGCACAGCAGATGGCTGTAATAACCTTTCCGGCCAAAACGTAGCTGGCCAAATGATTGATTTAAACTTCCTCCGCAAACTATGAAATAAACAATGCCAACAAGTTAATTGAATACACTCCACTCTCTTTACACCGGACACTACAGGGGCCATAAATTATTGTCCTTTTAGTGAGAGTCCTAGTCTGCTACACAGCCGTTTTTAGTGTCGTAACGCTCCTCCCTACGCGTTGCGCGACGACACTAAAAATGGCTGTGTAGCAGACTACGAGAGTCCGTAATAGCGGGAGTTTATTTCAGTCGAACATCTATAATTCATTTTTTGCCTGACATTTAGCTACTGTTCGTATAGCGTTGTCCGTCATAACAGCGTGCCCTCAAGGCGAGAGTTGACTGTATTAGGAATTCTATTGGCCGGAGAAAAAAAAAATTAAATGAAAGAGAATTATAGGATAAGCATGAACTCAAAACATCATTAGGTGTAGAGAAGTTGAGAAGCTAAATATTCTTTAAACGTTTCCCGACTTTAAGTTCAGGCGGTAGCAAATATACAAACAAAATCACAGTAAAGACGAAAAGTATTATCAGTTAAAAATGATATTTTCTATGTTCCTTAACTAACATTGTCAAAGTCGTTTTTAAAGCATTTATACCAGGACGCTCTGAAAAATTCATTGTTACATACTCATTTAAAAACAACAACAACAACAACAACAACAAGAGCAAAAAAAAAAGCAAACAACAAAAACAAAAATCAAAAGCAAAAACAAAATAAAACATATTTTTCCTCAACTCTGTTACCAATGTATTTTTTCATTACATTGATTATACAATGTAATATGTGCGTCAAATTAACATTTATCTAATCAGTTATCTACAATATCGTTATCAGAATGGTCGGTACTATACTAAGGGAAACCCACATAACATGACAACAATGCGTCGTACGACGTACCTCCTGCGCATATCACAGATGCATCTTCACTGTGAACGCAGTTATGGATACCCCATCCGCTGTGCTGACAATAGCCTATAGAACTTTCACTTCCCGAGCATGCAACATCATCCAGCCAAATTTGACCACTTCCGGCGCCAAATCGGGCAGACCCTGGGGCACTTATCGCTCCAGGAAATCCAAGCTGGCGACAAACAACTTGCGCGTCATATATATCCCAGGAGTCATCACAAACAGTTCCCCAGATGTTATTATAATATACTTCAACTCTTCCTTCCCAGCTTTCAGATCCTCCAACCAGTCGTAAACCTAACAATGGTAAAAGGAAAAATTGAAAACACACACAAACAAGATTAGATCCCATGACCTTGCTTAAGAGCTGGTGCATTTTTTCAAGGGGAGTAGAGGAGGGCGGTGCAAATATAGTGATCAGGTCAGTTCCCTTTAAATAAAAGTCTGTAGCAGGACTTAATTTCATACGTAGATTTTAATTAACTCGAATAAGATATATATTGAAAACGAACATAGTTTCACATTAAACTGGTAGAAATCAACAAAAGCAATTTTTGCTTAAAACTTGCTTGAAATGTAACAGAAATAATAATAATAAATAAATAAATAAAATGACAAATTTTACTCGTTTTGTTTTTTGTTTTTGTTTTTGTTTTGTTTTGTTTTGTTTTTGTTTTTTTTTTTCCGAGACGCAATCCCAATTGGGAGCTAGGAGGCGACCTGTTGGCTATTTTAAAAACACAAGCGATAATTTGAATTTGGAACTGGCAATAGAAAATCCTCGGGAATACCTAAAACAAAATCAGCTGGCAGTCAGGGAGAGATTTGAACTCAGGGCCTTTTGCCTGGGATTCGGAGTAAAAATTACTTCGCTTGGCTAACTGCTCGGCAACGTGGCCTTGAGTTAAAAGAAATAACCTGTATTCTACGTGAAAATGCACTTAGCTTCCCAGGTACAGGAACAGTTACAAACACTAAATAATGCAAAGAGAACACAGCTTCAAAAACAAGTTGCAAATAGCAATCTGCAGCTATTTACAAGCGTGGTCTATTTGCATTTGGGATGACCGAAAAACAAATCAAGATTGCACTGAAATTTACCCCGATAACTCGAATTCCCCGCTTAAACTCGAACTATTTTTCGTTTCCCTTAAGAGTTCGAGTTCACCGCCGGGGTTCTACTGTAGTCATGAACAAGTATGTTTAAACGCCATGTACTACAAATATTTTAGTTTCCAGTTAATTATTTTGTTCTCAGTTTGAGAACTGAAGTAAAAGAGCGGCTTAATAAGGGCTTAGCAGATAAGCTTGCTGGAAGCAAGTTGGCCTGACCTTTTCTTTTTTACATATATGTTCCCGTTGTAAAATTAATTCAATCAAGACTCTTTTGCTGTATGTTCCAGTTACAAATGTGTCCCACAATTTTTCAATAATGACTAAAGAACAATTTATACCTCAGGACTTTAATTATTTTATTCAATTTTTTAAAAACAAAACATGTACCATAAGATGTGATTTTGAACATTATTATCATAAACTTGTTTAAAATGTAATTTCTATGCTTTCTCCAGTTGGTGATTAAACATTAAATTTGGGTATACTTTACTATCCTGGCATTGGATGTTGATTGATGTGGAGGAAATACATGTAGATGGCAATTGACAGAACACATAAAAATTATCGTACACCTGAAATTTGAGAGGAAACGCATTCAAGGGAGATATTTATGGTACTCTGATTTTTCAACAAAGTAGTATGATTTGTATTGGCCGCCATGTTGAAGGGCATACTCTTGCCCTCCAACATAGCGGCCAAACTACTTTTAGCTTATGTCTTGTTAAACGTGTGATAGTTATGCTCAGATGTGCTGTAAATGTTGGCACATATTTTCAATATTTTCCTTGAAGTTTAAGTACACAATTTGTGTTCAGAAAGAGATACTTCATAATTTTAGAAATCACATTTTTGGTCATGTGACCAGCTATGAACTTAATCATTTTAAGAAAATGGTGCGGCTTTGTAACACCAAGTAACTATTATTTTATATAACATATAACCCACTAACCGTTTTTCGAAGGCAAAATCATATTACTTTCATTTTCATAAAAACGATGTATCATGACCTCTTGGTGCAAATGGCAGTTTTGGCCTATTGAACATTGTTTAAGTAACGGGTAAAATAGCATGATTTAAAACAGATAATTAAAACTACACGATGCCGATTCATTGAAAGATAGAAATCTACATTACTGTATTGCAATGTTACTTATTCTTGAATTCACTATTTTTAATTGATGAGGCAAATAAATGTAACACCAAACATGAAGATTGACTGAGAAAGTCTTTGCAATTGACGTGGTGAACTCTTTTTTAAAGAATCAGGTCTTGATCTATTGTCAAGGAAATTACATTACAGAATCCTGACCAAGAGAGTTGAAAGCTCTCTCAACAACACCTTTTTCTCATCTTGCAAGATTGTGTTAAAATCTAGACTAAGCCCTTGAAAAATCTAGAACTTCACAGACAAAATCTTGAAAATATTGCAAAAAAAGTTAAGATTCTAGTTACAGTTCAAACCAAGATCTCTACAAGTTTGTTAATCAAGATTCTTACAAGATCTTCTAAGGTTTTGGAAAGATTCTTGTAAGATCTTAAGAGGTCTTACAAGAGTCTCGATTAAGATCTTTGTTAAGATTCTTATAAGATCTTGTAAGATTCTTACAAGAATCTTAATAAGATACTTGTTAAGATGTTGGTAAGAATCTTAATAAGAATCTTGTTAAGATCCTCATAAGATTTCCACCTGGGTGCTTGCCCTCCAGATTTTTACAGAACCAACCTTTCCAATTTCTCCTGGCCCAGAATTACAGTCGTCCCAAGAGGAATTGAAGAAAATGGTTAGGCAAACTTTTGGGCGGTAAACAAGGTGCATTATGGTCTATGTGGAAATGGTATATGGGGAATAACACGGAATGTAACCAAATATTTTTAAGCATAATCAACGAGGGGAATATTTAGGGACGGACCATTACAAAACTTATGGGGGGCGGGCGAAGTACAAAAAAAAATTCGCGCAAGGGAAAATTAAATGAAAAAAATTCTTGCACGCCAATTAACCCTAAAAAATATTCATACAATGGCCTGAAAAAATTCATACAAGGAATTTGATAACGAAAAAAAGTTCCTGCTGCTCGAAAATTCCCCTCTCCCCCCACCCATAACTTTTCTAATGGTCCGTCCCTTACCTCCAATGCTAGGACAACTGCCACTAGTGATTGCCACATCATCGATAGCGATATCTCCTGTGTATGACGACCCCGCAATTCCCTCAAAGATTACCTATAAACAGAATACAAATGTGGAAAATGGGAAGTCTTTAAACAGTTGGGGTGAGTCAAATATGATGGATCGCTGCGAGCGGAAACCGAAATAAAATTTAATAAACTTTTAAAAAGCCATGATTAAAAAAGAGAAGTAATCAACAGAAAGCAAACTAACATTCACATTACCCTCAGAATTAGATTTATACCTAGTGGTCCGTTGTAGCACACATGCAATTTCAAAACATACTTCACTTGTGCGAGTATTTAATTCTAATCATTGACACTCGGTGTATCTGATAAATCATAGAAGATTAAAAAAAAAGAAAAAAAAAGGAAGAAGGTCGGCAAGGTCATATGATAGATCATTTTTATAAAAGCGTCATTTTTAACTGATGACCTCTCAAAATAATATTTAAAGATTTCGTGCAAATATTATGGGAAGATTTTAGCCACCTGAAATCAACGAACATCAGTCGTGATGTTTTGAGAAGCAAACCATATCAAACTTACATTGTTGCGCAAATATATCGTTTCCATTGCTCGTATCCAGTACAAACCCTGGTTCCCAGAGACATTGAAAACCAGCTCATTCCCACTGTAAACATTAAGAGTTCCTATGGTATCACCATACATGTAATAATAGAAAACGAGACAAGCTGCTGCTCCATTTCTAGAAACAGACACCTGAAGTTTTGCGTTGTCACCTTGTCGCCTGGGAGACGAAGTCTCTATATACATGTAGTATCCTGAAAAAGCATAATGATAATAATAATGATTCTGTGGAAAGTTTGAACTCAACCCAGGAGTCAATTCAAATGTAGGTAGGGTGAACGTAGTCCTGTTCTAGAACAAACGCCACTGACTCGTAGTCAACAGTTACCGGTGCTGTACGTACAAACGACTTATTGATGGAATTAAGCAAAACTAACTGCGAGAGAGCGACTGGACAACTGAAAAGTCAATCAGGTCAATAACCAGAGTACAATACCAACGACTGACGTGATACAGCTACTTTGACCCTGAAAATGACTATTGCACAGGTTGTCGAAAAGTCGGTCACTGTCAACAACAACAGTCCTATTCAGGACTACGTTTACCCGGACGATCAGACTCAACCTACTTTTCATATATAGATTTAGCCATGGCTGAAAGCGAAGCTCCCGTTAATAAATTCACAACATAAATCAAACAATAAACTTGTAATCCACAAATTATTTATGGGCACATTCATGGGAATTTTGAGGGAAAGGCTAGGTGATTTTACAGAGAGTTGAAGTTCAAGAGTTAAACAAATTTTACATCAAGTTAATAGTCTTTATGCAAACCCAAAAAGAGCAATCATCTTCGATGACAGTAGATTAGGCCTGGAAAACAAATTCTTCCCAAACAAAATAACCCAGTATGAACGAGGAATAACGATATTTAAAAAAAGAAAAAAAACCTTCTAAAGAGATGGGGTCTTAAGGCATCGACATCTCAAATTCGTTGTACTGTATGCATAAATAATTAAAAGGCAATAAACTAAGAATGAAAATGCTGTCATACATTTAGGTTAATCAGTTGATATTTGTTTCTAACACCGGCAAGATAATTCTGCATAGGGGAGTAAAATAAATAGAGGATATTACATGGCCGCGCGGGGATACGAATTTTATCTTCGAGTGCTGAAAGTATCTCTCACTCGTTCGCTTCGCTCACTCGTGAGAGATACTTTCAGCACTCGAAGACAAAATTCGTACCCCCAAGCGGCCATGTAATGTTTTGTTTATTCTATGGATACTGATGAAATTCCTACATAAAACACAACTTGAAGCTCATCTGCGGATGCATCTGCGGAGAAGAGAGTGTCGACACGAAAAGCTATCCGGTGTGTGAACTAAGCCTTAATCAATAAACCAATAAGAAAAAAAGAAATGTTTAGCCTGTTCCATGGGGTCTGGAGGAGTTCAGTTTGTCGTGAATACTTCGAAAACTCTATTAAAACAAGGAAGCTTTCTTGCAATTGGCTAATCATGTTAGTAACCATGGCGACACCAATATCCTCACACGTGAAAGATAAAAATAGTATCTTCACTGCGCGCGATGAAGATATGATTTTTGTAGTAAAATGAAAAATCCTGGTATTTCATCAGTATCTATATAATAAACATGAATTAAAAACCACAAAAACAAACAAACAAAATGGCAATTATCAAAAACTGTAGACTGCGGCTTATAAGCCCTGGGCTAACACATACCTCTAATTAGCCGCGTTTTTGGTCAGTACTGTAAATTACGGACCGAGGTTTGAATCCATCGATTTATGGCCCAAGCGCGAAGCGCACGGGCCATAAATCGATGGAAAAAAAAAAAAACGAGAATCCGTAATTTACAGTGCGGACCGAAAAAACGAGGCTAATAAGATGTTTATTATTTGGCTTCTTCCCGTTTGGGGGACCGGAAACAAGTGCAGGACGCACGATTTGACAGTCATTTGACAGGCGTCAAAAAAGAAAGTTTTTATTGGCGCACGAAAGCAATAGCACATAACAAAGGCTTTCCGAGAAAGTAAAGACAAATTCACCATGTTGAAAAAGTTTATTCGGTCAAAACTAAGAGCACTGTAAGTTTTAGCTCTTTAATGTAACGCTGGAGTATTTTGGAAACCGGACACGGTGTCTGTCTAGAAGTTGTTTCCATCTTTCCTCCGTTTGTCCTTCTAAAGAAAACACTGCAAAAGGCAAAGAAGCTTTTCGAGGTAAGTTTGTTGTCATTGTCAAAGGATTCTCTCGTTAATTGTTTTTGGGAAAACCTCTCTTTCTGCCAGTTCATTCTCGTCTTCAATTGCGATCTGCGTTAAAATTCTCAAACACTGACCAAAATTCTCTTCCTCGGTAAGGTTATGATTCAGTCTCTACATCAGCTTCGTTCTCATTAAAACAAAGCTAGGTTAAAATTTGGAAAGGCAAAGTCAACATCCCAGTCCTCCGGGTTTACAGACATATTTTAAGGTTTATTCGGTCACGCCTAAGAGCACTGTAAGTATTGACTCGTTAGTGTGATGCTGGAGTCGTTTGAAAACTGGGCATTGTGTCTGGCTCGAACTCGCTTCTATCTTTCTTTCGTTGTTCTTTGAAAGTCAACGTCCAAGTCCTCAAGGTTGACAGGCGTCTTATAACTTTATTTAAACCTTTTTTCCGAGGTAAAGAGATTTAGAGCTCCGAAATGAGAATTTTCAGCCATATAATAAATCTTCGTAATATGATTTTAGTAGAGGTTATAAACGGAAAGGCTTATTACCGGTAATAGTATTAATAATGATAAATGCTTCGAAACAAGCTATAGCAGTGCCGATCAAATAAGTTTTGAATATAATTTATTTTATTTTTTTTTCATCAAGCCGCAGTTAAACGGAGTCCATTTCAATACATTTAGAGATAGGCTTGTATTGGAATTGGGGGAGCTTATAAGCCGCGCTGTATGGTATAGTCTAATTCATGTACATCTGTTACATTTTCAGAAGACAGAGCCTTTTTTAAAATTATTTACAGAATGCATGTATATACAGTATTGTACGTACCGTTTCCAGTAGTGTGATCTGATGAAGGCCCCGTATTTGAAGATGAAGTACTTCCTCTTTGGCGTGTCCAGTCAAATACGTCTAAGGAAGACTGACTCCATCCATAACACAATCCATAGTCAAAATTACAAGATGCTTGAGCAGAAGGTGGCACAGACGTTGCTTGTGCTGTTGGTATAGAGAATTTGCTTTGTTTGTTAACTTATCACGACTTTGCAGTTCAGGCTGTAGCTGTAAGCTATACGCTAACAAACAATCCGATACACACAGTATTTAGAAAAACATGTTTTGATCGTCCGTATTTCCAAGGTATTACTTGATATACAATGTACGCGCTTCAAATTAACATTTATCTAATTATTTGTGTATGGCATTTATATCAGAATGCTCTAAGAAATTGTCGGTACTACACTAAGCAAAATTCACATAATATTACCATAATGTGAGTCTTATTTATTGATTGTCTCGTACGACGTACCTCCTGAGCATATCACCGATGCATCTTCACTGTGGCCGCAGTTATGAGAGCCCCATCCATTGTGCCCACAATAGAATATGGAACTTTCACTTCCCGAACATGCAACATTATCCAGCCAAATTTGACCACTTCCGGCGCCGAATCGGGCAGACCCTGGAGCACTTATCGCTCTTGGAAACCCAAGTTGACGGCAAACCACTCGCGCGTCATATATATCCCAGTAGTCATCGCAAACAGTTCCCCAGATGTTATTATAATAAACTTCAACTCTTCCTTCCCAGCTTCCAGATCCTCCAACCAGCCGTAAACCTAACAATAGTAAAATGAAAAACGGAAAACACGCACAAAAAAAGTTTAGATCCGATGACCTTGCTTAAGAACTGGTGCATTTTTCAAGGGGAGTAAGGAGAGCGGTGTTAATAGTAATCAGGCGCGTACGTTTAATTAAAAGTCTGTAACATGACTTAATTTCAGACGTAGATTTTAATTATCTCGAATAACGTATCTACATATATTACCCACAAAAACATAATCTACGGGAATGCCAAAGACAAATCCAGGAGGATTTTAGGGCGAGATTTGAACTCAGGGCCTTTTACCTGGATCCGGAGTAAAAATATATTGGCTAACTACTTAGCAGCATGGCCTAGCGGCAGCACTAAAACATCGAATCCGGAATCCGGAAACGGAAGATGAATCACGGAAACGGAAACGGAATACGGAATCAAATATCTAGGATAGACAATTCACATTGCCGAAATAATGATTTTTAGTACTAATCTTATGTTATTCCATTCAATAATTCTAATTATTAATTCTAATTATTTCGTCAATCGGCGACTTCCAAGTTCATTCGCTAAAGCGAACGTTACGCATCTTTATTTAGCCACTGGGTAAAAATTAACTTAGCAATTAATGAATGAGGCAGAGTAGGACATGAAGAATTATGCAGATCGAGGAGGGTGGATACCACCCTCCGAGATCTGCGTAATTCTTTATTCCTACGAAAGCCGAACTCATTAATTGGTTTATTATTCATTCAAAATAATTCCTAGTTTAAAAACAAGTTAAAACATGCTTACCTTCGTCGATATTAAGTTCACCTCGATAGTGCATGTTAAGAAGAGAAAGGGCTGTTCAGGTCTGCAAATATACTCCAAATACTGTTTTGCTGTTTGTCGAGTTGTCTTCTTGCTATCTTTTTAAACAATAGTTCATCGTGAAACGAATAAAATATTCCGCCGGCAATTTTTCTTCTTACAACCAAAACACCTCAACCTTGTCCCCAGGTCTTCTCGGTTAACGGAGCATTAACCTGCAAATGTGCTACATTTTTGACGTCATCGGTTGATTAATTGCAAAATTCTTCCAAATTTGGTCCACAGTAGTTGGTTATGGTGAATTATGCGTGTGCTTTTAGCCACTCAGAAACGGATAAACATTTTGAATGACTAATAGTACGTTTTTATTACTTTTATGACAGCAAACATGTATTAGATATGGTTGCATTTAAGTCGCCGGAACGTGAACTTAAAGGTCTGTTGATCATTGTACGGGAGAGAATAAAGCATGTTTCCGGAATTAATTTACTCGGCACAACTTTTAAAAAAATAGCTCTTGTTCAAACTTTTAAAAACACAATTACGCCGCATACTTACAAGTTAAAGTCACTATCTACACTGCCAATTATTAACGTGATATTTGTAGACCTTTGTAAATATTTTTTTTATATATACTTCACTTTGAAGCAGGTGAAACATAATTCACATACGTTGTGCCGTTCGCCATTGCGAAGAATAGGTCACAGATGTCTTGAACCAGCAGCCACACCAAAATATGAACCTTTAGACAGCTGCATCACTGTATTCATAGTTTGAATCATGATGATATTTAAATGTTATGCTTCTCAACACCTTTAGCCGTAATAAAAGACGACAAAATTGTGATGATCCAAAATGGCGGCCTTAACATGCCCTTTTTTGACCTTTAGCGCAGCAATGTCATGTTTAGATGCCAAAATCGCATTGGTAGCTAGCATAGTATCTTTTAGTACCTAACCTTATTGGCCCCTGCAACACACATCCGAACACACAAAGCCACAAGCCACAAAGATACACATGCTAAGACCATTGACATATGAGCTATTTGTTTTTTCAAAATAGCTCAACAATGAATAATCCAAATAGAAGCCAGCTTTAAAGCAATAACAACAACAAAAACAAAAACAACTTGCAAATGGTAATCTGTAGCTATTTACAAGCGTGGTCCATTTAAAAAACAAGTCAAGCTATAGTGGTCAGAGTGAACGGGACTGAAGCCCAGGACTGCAGTATTAACCACTCTGCTATGCTGCCTCCCATAAATAAAAATGCTTTTCTTGTTTGTCCATCTTAAATTTATGGGGGATAACACGCAGCTGCGGTGATACACATAAGCACATAACGAATGTAACCAAATACTTTTAAGCATAATCAACTACTGGACTATGTACCTCCAGCTCCAGGATTTGTCGGCAACACAGTGGAATTACTACAGCTTCCATTGGTGATTGCTACATCATCGATAGCTATGTCTCCTGTAAATGAAGACCCCGCAATACCTTCGAAGATTATCTATAAATGAAGTACAAAGCAATGAGAAGTCTTCAAACACTTGGAGAAAGTCAAACAAGTTGGATCGCTGCAAGCGGAAACCGTTGTGAAATAAAATAAAAAATAAATAAATAAATAAATAAATAAATAAAGCCATGACTTATGATAAAGAGGTAACCAACACAAAGAAAACTAAGATTCATATTCCCCTCAAACTAGATTTACATATAGTGGCCAATCTTAATGAAGAATTGGTAGCACGTTGATCTCAATAAAAGTTTATCGTAAGGGGACTTAATAAAATAACTGAATAGATCCTTTAATATTATATGTAGGTTTTTCAACCAATTTCTGAAGATGTTCAAAGATTTCTATATATATTACATGTATGTCAACATTTTAGCCGCTGAAACCTACGACCAACAGTCTGTCATGCCATTAAAGGGGATCCAAAACAGTCTTGGCTTCTAGATTTTACCCCATGAAATCCGGATTTCAGGTACTGGATTCCTGACCTTTGTCAGTGTAACTTGGGTCCGGATTCCAATCTGAGTGGGATTCTGGATTCCTAGAGCGGTATTTCGAATTCAAATTGAAAGCCAGCATTCCGGATTCTAAAGTGAAAAAGTCTCCAGGGTTCCTGAATAGGGATTCTATTACCATTACATGTAGCGAAGTCACCATGAAAATTCACCCTTATCTAACTTACACTGTTTCGCAAATAAATTGTTTGCCTTGCTTGTATCCAGTAGTTGCCCTGGTTCCCAAATACATTGAAAACCAAATCATTTCCACTGTAAACATTTAGAGCTCCTATGGTATCACCATACATGTGATAATAGAAAACGAGACAAGCTGCTGCTCCATTTCCAGAAACAGACACTTGAAGTTTTGCGTTGTCACCTTGTCCCCTAGGAGACGACGTCTCCGTATACATGTAGTATCCTGCAAGAGCATAATAATAATAATATTAACAACAAAACAGTCAATAAGAATCATTCTGTAAATCCTCTATCTTCCTTACTAACAATACAGCGTTTACAGTTAAATATGCCTCCCCCTGCCCCCTTTTCTTCCCCATATGGACGTCAATAAATGGTATTTGAAAAGAAAAACATCTCAAGGATAAGAGTATGGGGTCGTTATTGCTACGCGCAAAAATAAACGAACTAGGCGTGAAAATCAGTGCTGTCATAGTTCTAGGTTAATCAGTTGACATTTGTCTTTAATATCTGGATTATTCTGCATAAAGGAGAACGATAATTAAACAACAACAACAAATTAAACAAACTAAAAAGGCAATTGAAAAAAAAGGCCGTTAACTTTCGCTTATAAGCCACTGCCTAGTTTTCACTTTTAAATTGAGAGGGGCTGGGAAGGAGTCGGTTTATCATGGGATAAATATCACGAGACCCAAATAGTCAGAAAAGGACATTGAGGTTATGAAAAAGTGGAAGTTTAATTTCCTCCGGGGTAATACTTTACAAGATACAGCTTTTTATAAATTTGTCAATTTTTAAGAGATGTATGTATTGCCGGAGACATCGTCCGGACGTCTATACATTTCATAGTAAATTTTGGAGTTTTTCGATGGTTGTATTTCGTTAAATACAGGCCAGATAAACACTAATCTTGAGAAAGTTACTAAATTCAATGCGTTCTTTCTGACTATATGACATTTCTAAACAAACTGATCAACGCACGCGTTTAGTTAAAATCTTTGCTCGTGGGCACTTAGCTTTGTATTTACTGCTATTTTTTTTATTAAGCTTCAATCAATTCGAATTCATTTCAATTTGCAGCGTAATTGTTTCTACCGTTTCCAGTGGTGTGATCTGACGAAGGCCCCGTATTTGAAGACGAAGTACTTCCTCTTTGGCGTGTCCAGTCAAATACGTCTGAGGAAGACTGACTCCATCCATAACACAATCCATAGTCAAAGTTACAAGATGCTTGGACAGACGGCGAGGTCCAGGGCACGGACGTTGTTTGTGCTGTTGGTAGAGAGAATTCGCTTATTTTATTTTATTTTATTTTTTCAAATAATCACAGCTTTGAGATTCAGGTGGTAGTTGCGCACTGTACGCTAACAAACAAACTCTAATCATAACTTATGTTTTTTCCTCAACTCTATTACTTATGTATCGCCCACGATATGTAATCAGTTTTCTAAAGGATTTATATTAGGACGTTCTCCCACATTATCAGCTCCCTTACTAAGCGAAATGCATATGATATGACTATTGAATATTGTCACGTCCAACATACTTCCTGAGCATATCACCGATGCATCTTCACTGTGGACGCAGTTATGAGAGCCCCAACCTCTGTGCCGACAATAGACTATGGAACTTTCACTTCCCGAACATGCAACATCGTCCAGCCAGATTTGACCACTCCCGGGTCCGAATCGGGCATTCGTTGGGGCACTAACCGCACCAGGAAACCCAAGCTGGCGACAAACGACTCGTGCGTCATTTATATCCCAGGAGTCATCACAAACAGTTCCCCAGATGTTATTGTGATATACTTCAACTCTTCCTTCCCAGCTTCCAGATCCTCCAACAAGTCTCAGACCTAAGGTACAAGAAAATAAGGGTAAGTGAAATGTGAAATGTATTTCCAGTGTGTGTGTGTGTGTTTTTTTTTTCTTTGACTTGTGGATTACGCATAGCGCAAGGAACGAGTTAAGGTTGATTTCCACTGACAAGTTTTTGTCTACGCGCTAACCGCTCGTAAATTTTAATCACGTTAATAAAATAGAGGCAAGATATAAAGTGTTGAGATTAAACGTCAAGTTGAGCGAGGTTCAACTTTTACGCTAACGAGCGACCGTTCATGCATTGCTTCTATCTTATTTGCGAACGTAAACTTATTCACGTACGCACGTAAAAATTACACGACAGTGGAAATCAACCCTTATTGTGGGTTCCGCAAAATGCAAATGTGTCACTCGGGTTTAGACGGCTTTCATAATTTGTCAGCTCGCACGATAACGCCCGATATCGATATCGATATCGTAGATCGATCGTTCCCGTTCCGTAATCAGGAATTTTGATGTTAAGATTTTGTGCTATAGCTTCACGGGACGATAAGTTGGCTTCATGTGGACTTTAGCTATGAATTTTTTAGGCTTTCTGACTCATGCAGGCGATAAACATGACGAAGAGATCAGCAATTTCTCTTCGCCTCCCCAAGCTGGTCTAAGCTGACCATTCTGTTATGAGTCCCACGATTTTTTAACTTTGCATCTCAGTCGTCATACAAGTCGGAAGCCCTCTATTTTACCGTCGTGCTTAGCTTGCTGTTTTGTTGAATAAGTTGCGCCATAACGTCATTGGGTGTTCGCTGGATTTCGTCCGGGTTTATAGCTAGTTTTAGCCAGTCTCTGCTTTCAATCGTTTTCGTTCTTTACCGTTTGTGGTGGCTTGTGTTTTTTGGCAGAAGCGTCTGATGCTTGCGGCGACTGCATTTCCAATACGGTCCCGGGATGAATCAAAAAGCTGGTATCCTAACGGTAGAATGCTTCGTTGGATCAAATCAAACGCCATCATCGGGTCACCATAAACTTGACGCGATTCCCAGACTGCTTCTCCGTTAGTTTGTGGAGAGAACACTGGATCTTCTTTTATCCATAAAGGGAGGGACCATGTGGATTAGCAGGGGAATGATCGGGTTGTCTATGAGCCTTGAAAAAAGCTACCGATCGTTGACGTTATCGTCGATCTTAGCGTTGCTCATTACGCGATCTGTCTGGCAGTTCGCATGAGTCAGATGTTGCACTGTATTGGCTTTGAAATTGGCGGCAATTGTGAACTATTTTACAACTGAGTGGTTTTCTTGAATGCGCATTGTATTAGTCTTGACAACGATTGTTATTCACTCTCGGGCCTAAGACAATGGCTCGCTTGCTCGAGACGCGCCATTTTCGAACACAACTTCTACCAGAAGTGTTTAAAGTTAAAGGGATAGTGGTTCTACTCAACCGATTTTCAAAATTAAAACGGATTCTGTTCGAGAAAAGGTCCATCTTTCATCACAGTTTTAATTTTGTGTTTACATTTCGTTTACATTCAGTGTCGTCGTCGTCGACCGATCGACTGCATCTTAAGTTTCATTTTTCTAGCCGAAACTGACTTTCTCGTCCCAGTCTTTTCCCAGTCAACAGACGTCGTCGTCGTGAACTTCGTCGTGGTTCTTAAGTTCCCTAAAAACCCGTTGATCTCACTCTATCGCCAGTGGCCTGGGTTACATTTTTACCGACTTACATTATGCGGTTCACTTATTGCAAGTTCATTTTAAGCTTTTATTTCTAAAATAATTAATCCACGAGTTAGCCATGGGCACCCTTTGATTCTTTTAGATACTGCCTCAGCCTTTCTGCAATGGCGAAGGGTGCAAGACGCTTAGACCAGTTTTAAATGTGTTTGATCATAGTTAGTAGGGGAGACCGGTTAGGGAACCCGGTAAAGATCAAAGTTGAAGACAATGGTGCTGTAGGTTATATTGAAAACTCCCTGACCGTGCACAATCCTTTGTTTTCTGTCCACAAATCAAGACTGAATAAATTAATGCAAAGTTTCGATTAGTCAAAAACTTCAAAATGATAGGAAGGCTATTGAACGTTGTGCACGGTAGGGTCCAAAAACGCTAGCAAAAAACCTATAAAAAAGGGTTTCCCGACCATTCCACTTTAATTAACTATGGTTTGACAGAAATAATCAACCCTATTTCGTTGGCACTTAAGGTATGTTGATTTTTCTCCTATCTTACTTAAGCCATTTCATACTTGTATTTGACGAACTGTAAACTTTTGTTTGTTCAGTGGAGACCGTTAATTTTAATTTGTACACCGCCCAGATGTAAATAAATAAATAAAGTTGTTGTTTTATGTTGTTGTTGTTTTTTTTTTAGTTTTGCCTGTTCGATGTTCACACAACGAGAAAAACACAAGTTGGCCTTGAGTTAATTGGGGAGAGTGATTGACAGAGAGAGATCTGAGGACTACCAATACAGAGGACCATTACCTGCGTTTTGGGCTGTATGTTTCAAAAGGCCTTAAAGCATAATGACTTGAGAATTAGTAAATATTATTATTACTATTATTATTACATGTATTATTATTATTATTATTATTATTCACGTTCCTCTTCAGACTATACCTGAGGCGCCAGATGGAGGTGGAGAAGCGGTAACAAATCCATTCATTTTGTTGATTATCCAGGATTTTAAGTTACGAATGTTTGCGTACACGGTTGGCTTTAAAGGGGCGGCACAAGGAAGGCCCCCCCAGCTCGTGGCTCCTTCAAGATACCATTTACCATTAAATTCGCACACAAGCGGCCCTCCGCTATCGCCATTGCAGGCACCCTGACCTCCCTGGGCTTTCCCAATGCATATCATGGAATCGTCTATGCTTCCAGGGTAATAACTGAGACAGCGTTGCTTGGATACAAGTGGTAAATCAACCTGCATGAGTGCGTTTGGCTGTGGACCTAAGTAGTAAAGTCTTCCCCAGCCAGTGATCCAACAGGGCTTGTTAGAATTATCAAATGGAAGCTGAAAGTTTGGATCTGAGAGACAAACTAGGCCAACTCCTTTTCCAAGCACAGCTGGTCTTGATAACCTAAGCAAGGCAATATCGTTGCTATATTGATTCGGAGAGTTATAGTTTTCGTGCAGAATTATATTTATAACGTCAAAGTCTTGTTCTGTTCCAACGGAAGACCACAATCTGTAATGTGCTCCCAATCTAGATAAACAAACAGAAAAAAAAAAGAAAAATGATAGAAAAATAATAATTAATGATAACAATAATAATAATAATAATAGTAATAACAATAATAACGAACCGGTTACAGCATCCCATTGCTTAATAACACCTAATTTTTTGTTCGTGCATCATCCTCTAGAATGAGAAGTGTTGCTAAATATCTACAGGGGTAAAGGCGGGAAGTAAATTATTTCAGCAGAATTATTACTGGTCTTACTTGTACATATATATATATATATATAGACCAGTAGGTGAACTACTCAAATCCTGAGTACATGGGTGTTTAATACAAGCCTGTTTCGTAGGCCACCGAAAAGGTGACCCACTCTTCAGTTAAACTCCATTATAAAACTGAAGCGTCAGGGTCTACATCAAGAAAAGTGATCGCGTGATAAAAACGGTTACATATAACGTTTGAAATTTAAATTTTAGAATGAAAAGCGCGCGCTCGCTCTCAATCGCCTATATATATATATATATATATATATATATATATATATATATATATATATATATATATGCACAGTTCATTCACCTTTCGTGTTATCCCACGTTTGAATGCAAACGAGACGTAGATGATTTTTATGGATTTGTTCCTTTCACTAAATCCTACAATTTATTGACTATTCTCAAATGGGATTCGATTAAAGATAGGAATGTCCCTTCCAGGCTACCAAATTGTTAATAAAGAAGAACTGGGTATTGATTGATTATACTTCTTTGTAGTAGTAGGCCACGCCATAAAGTCCTGTCCTAGCTTTTTTTGTGGACGGTACATACCAGTAACCTCCCCCCAACCCTCCTTCCCAGTTTATATATCATCTTGTAGTGAAAGCACATTTAGAGTTGCACTTCCAATTCCAATGTACTGGTTTTGCACTTGATCGTAAAGCCGTGTATAGTTAGACTTCTTACTCTTACCTCACTTTAACATCTGACAGAGCCCTGCTTCTTACACAGTGAGTTGCTGTTAAAACCCATTGAGGATGGATTAAGGATCCTCCACAGAATTGACTACCGCTGCTTGATAGTAGCATTGCCTGCCAGGGCCAGCCATTTACAGGTACCTCGGACCCGTTAACAATCCTTGCAGTATAGACACTGGGCCTTATACCGCATGTTACTGTAATGATAATATAATTACTCCATGAATAACATATTTCCATTAACAAACAACAAAAAAATAATACGAATGTTGCAAGTAAGGATAAATTTCTGTGTTTGCTCAAGACGTTTTCTACAGTTAAACTCTACAAAAAAAGTGACAAAAGGTGTAAATGAGATAGCTCTTAAACCTAAAATCCATCATGGTTTGGAAAGTAGCATACTATTTGCATCAAATTTGTCCACAATTATAAAGAAAAAGGTAACGGTAAAGTTTAATCATTTAACAGATGCGAGAATTTCGCTTCACAGCTTGTCGACCAATAAGGAAATCATGATACGCGGTAGTCAACCCCTTTAGTCCCAATCCACATTCAAAATTCTCTAAACTAATCTCCGTAAAGCTGAAAAGTTAAAAGTAGCAAATTTCAAAATTTATTATTTGTTAATTTGTGCAGATTTTTGATCCAAAATTCAAGACTTTTCCCTGTTTTTTTTTCCAAAAGGATATATTTTTTTCCACGCTCAAGGTTATCAAATAGGTGATCAATAGAGACTTGAGGAAAAAAAAAATAAAAAATAATCATGACTTTTTCCAAAACTTTAGCTCTATTTTCCAGACTTTTTCCTGGTACGGAAAATTACCAGGAAAATTTCACGACTTTTTCGAAATTGTACAGACCTCTTCACAGAGAAAAAAACAAACAAACAAAAGCAAAAACAAAAAAAACAGTGGCGTTTCTCCCTTACGGTTTGCCGTCATGGTGGCTTCTGATGGAGTTTTGTAAGGCTTCCCCATAGTGTCAACCCCAACAACTTCCACAGAATAATTTGTTGAATAAGTGAGTCCGTTGATTTCCGTGGTTAATTGATCCCCATTGACAACCTGATGCAATGTGACAGTGTTATTTCTTCTGTTTAAGAAGACAACGTAATGACGAACTTTACGGTTGAGAACGTTGGTAAGGTTTGTCCACCGAATCAATATGCTTGAGAAGGTGATGTTCTCCACTGTTAAATTCCAATCAAAAAGCATTTGAGCTAAATATCAAAAAAAGACATGCATTAATAAATATACAGAAGTCTATCAAGTGTTTTAACACAAATAGAAATAGAAATTGAAAGAATGAAACAGTAAAACCCTTCATAAGTAGTGGTCTCGACGAAACAAAACTACTTCCCGATGGATTAGTCTTAAAAGCGATTTGTTATATGGCTGAAAATTCATTAAACTTCGCTGTAATGGCGGCCGTCGGTCAACATCCGAGGGTAACTGACGTCATATAGATTTTGCAATGTTCTTGCTCATAGATTTTAGCGCGAAACAGTTTTATTGTTGGATGACATGTGACCTCGAAGTAACCAATGAGAGAACACGCTGTTGGGAACAATTTCCAGCTAATAACAATGACTAATAGCGGAGCTCTGGCGCACAAAGCGCGCCTGCGGAGCACCATGGGTAAGTAAATCTACCCATCCCAGAAAATTTGGTAATCACGTGACCGTGCACCGCCCGCCCGCTGCCCGCCCGTCCGTCCGCACCACAGGGCAACCAATGCTCAATTTCACACTTTGTAGCTAGTTTGGAAGCACAGGAAGACTGATATTGCACACAAATTGCACATCAATGTTGTGATCAATTGACAGCTGTCAAAACAGGGTATCCGCTGACCAGCATCACCTGATCGTATCGCGGGCTCAGGTCTCGACCCATCGAGGTCAAGTATCTTTTTGAAGTTATCCGCTGACAAGTTACTAGTTTTCAAATGATTGCAGGCTCAAGTTTAATTTTTTTTAATTCATATGCAATATGTTGTGTTTTATATGTGCCGCACAATTAAAATTTCATTTCAAACTGACCTAAGAAGCTAAAATTCAGCCAGTTTTTACAGACAGGGAAGACATGCCAGTTGCTATTGACTTTCTCACCAAGGTCACGCGTTGGTCGCGCTCTACGTCCAATTTTTATGCTCTGATTGGTCAAAACTTGACAGGAGAGTTCATGTGGAAAATTTATGCAGCATCTTGAAACTTGTTTACTTTGACAGCTGAAGCCGACAAAGTTTAATTTTGTGTCAAAAGTGTCTTTTTCCACTGAATGTATAAAATGAAATTCAGCTGCTATCAAGAGTCTTCTGTTATTCATGGCTAGTTTGTTTATTGGTTTTTTGGTAGAGAAATACGTCGCTAGTCAAAGTCGGAAATCCGATTTCGGATGATATCGTTTTCTTTTTTCACCTTGCTTGATGCATAAGAGGGTTGAAAAGTCTGAAGCGATTCTAGCCTTACTTAATAGTTTTCAGTGCATCTCAAATGGTAGGCCTGAGTAATTATTTTATTTGATGTTTCTTTTTTATTTCTAATTTAATGAAGTCGAGCGTAGTTCGTAGTCAGTTTGTTTTCAGTCGCTCATGAACATCGCTTGCACGACTTGTCAAAATGCCATGCATATCAAACGCTTTTGAAGATTACACATCGTTATAAAACCTTTAGATAAAAAATAAACAGAATAAATTATTTATTATGTTGAAGCGTATAACTATTAACCTTAATTTAAACAGTCGACTTTGGCAGTTGTCAAAAGTGAGAACCGGCCACCCGTATAGGGGATTTTGGAAATTTTTTTAACGGTTTCGCTGAAAGCCCACGCGTGCTTCCATCATCCTGAATATTAAATGAGTGCAATTTGTATTGAAAAATTGTGAAATACTGCATTCTGTCCGAGGGCTGTATGATAAAAACAGAGCCTCATAGTACTGTTTCACTTCAGATGTGATGTATAAGAAGTATATAAATGTTGGTTTACACGTCCCCACACTTGTTGGGAAGATTTTGTAAAGTAAACTTGTCAAACGCCAAAAATTCGGCCTGATTTGTTTTTCAAGAATTTGTTTTCCACGCCTAATCTACTGTGATCAAGAGCCATTATGGCTATGCTATTTTTTTGGTGTACATCTAAGGCTATCAACGCGATGTAAGATTGAGTTCACCCTTAGCTTGGACTGTTTGCAAATTAGTTTTCCCTAAAATCACTTAGCCTTTCCCTCAAAAGTCACATGAATGTGCTCTAAAGTTAACTGAATTGTGGAAATTACAAGATTATTGTTTATTTAAATTATAAATTCCAGTTAATACGAGCTTCGCTTTAAGCCCTGGCTAAATCTATATATTAAAAGTTATAGAATCGTGCTAAATAACTAAAGTCTACTTTCGCCAAGCTTCAAATTGAACCAAGGGAAACTAATGGCCAAGTTTTAAGTGACCGAGTACATTTTAAGAAATGGAAATAAATTAAAAGAGACAAAACTAATGATGAAGTGGTCGTAATCTTACGCCAACATCTCCATGAGTAGTACACTATGTTGAAAGATAAGCCCAGTTGGTGTCTTCCCTTGTCTTCCCTTTATTAATATGCATAAGGTGGAGTCCATGACGTCACCCATTGATATAACCTAGGGAAAAAAATGCGTTCCTCCATACTAATGAGGGTCTTCCTGCATACTAATTCAGTATAGGTTTACTAATGAGCGTCTCTCTACTTCAATAGAAACAATAGACTTGCCTAGACTTGCCCGTGAAGTAACTTGAGCTCGGTTTTCGGACCGTGCGCAATGTAAAAAAAAGTATGGCTTGCATTCTTTGACTGTTCTAATAGATTTCTTTCAAATCACTGTGTATTCGACTCTTTTTGTTTTAAACGGTATCTCGTGCCTGATTTTATTGCTAGCAATTATGAGTAGCGTGTTTTAATTGATCCTTGTTAAGTTATTTGTTTTATAATAATACGTCAAGGTTGCTCCCTCGAGGTTTTTCCTGTAGAGCTAATTTGTATTCAACTTTGGGCTTGTGAACTCGCATAATTAACTGATTAACCGTGCGTGAAAATGACACGACTTTCACTTCCTCGAGATAGATGGGAGAAAACGGTTCTGTAATAGTCAGACAAACTTGAAATAAAGCGTGTTCGGCTCCCCTTTGTGTATTTTTCGTTGATATATCCGAGTTTTAGAGCTAAATAAAAAGACATAAACTAAACTGAAATAAAGACTTTTCAACTCCACTTTGTGTTTATATATATATCTGAGTTTTAGCGCTAAATAAGATATAGGAAGCCGTTTGTCGCGTTGCTAGGTGATCGCTCCTATTTTCCTTTTGATAGACGGTCCGAAAACCGAGCTCGGGTTACTTCACGGGCAAGTCTAGGCAAGTCTATTGTTTCTATTGAAGTAGAGAGACGCTCATTAGTAAACCTATACCGAAGTAGTATGCAGGAAGACCCTCATCAGTATGGAGGAACGCATTTTTTTCCCCTAGGTTATAACAATGGGTGACGTCATGGACTCGACCCTTATGCATATTAACCTTATTCAGACTGGGCTTTTTTGGTCAATCTGTGACTTGGGGGGGGCTCCTCGGACCCCCCTTCTGGATCTCTGCAACCAATAATGCTAGGGTCATGAAATTTACACACAATGATCATCTCTGTACAAAGAAGCCCCACACCCAGTTTTGACTTGCCACGCCCAATGATGACGTCATAGTGACGTCATATTCCGATTTTTCAATATTTCTTATTATTTTTCCACTTAGATACGTAAAATATCAATAATATTGGTAAAGTCATCTCTTTGTTATCCTTTCTTATGAACTAGTAACAAGGAAACACTTGTACAGCGAGAAAAAGCAATAGGAAGCAATAAAATTTAAAATTTGAAATGGTTGTCCGCCATCTTGGATCCGCCATCTTGGATTTCCGTTTTTTTGTTAAAATTATCATTTAAAGCAACTTTCAAAGGGGAAAAAGCTCAGAATGTATAAAAGAAGTATCAAACTAATGTTTATTACCCAAACAAATGACTTTGGAAGTGTTATTTGGAAAAGAGAGCAGCATGTTTGTCAAAGCAAAAAAGTTACAAATTTTACCCCACCCCTCCCCCCCCCAAAAATTCGATGTTGAAACATTTTGATGTAATTCAAAAACTAGTCCCAAGCAAAGACCATTTTAACGACAAAAAGCATTATAAGTGTAAAAACGCGACCTTAAAACAAAAAAAATCAGCATTTTTTAAATTTTCCAAAACCTATCTGTCAGAAACTGGTTGCCATGGCAACATGATTAATCACATGGACATGGTAATTATACCAAAATGTTCCTAGATAAATTTTAGGAAAAGTCAGAAAATTTGAACGTCATAGCTCTTTCGGTGTAGGAGTTATCACGATTTTGCCGGAGGGGTAGTTCGAAAAGCCCCCCCCCCCCAGTCTGAATGGGGTTAATAAAGGGAAGACAGGGGAAGACAGGGGGAAAACGGGGCTTATCTTTCAACATAGTATACTACTTCCATGATTACGGAAAGCTAAACTTCCTTTTCCTGGTTTTAAGAAGTGTAGTGCTATATTTTTATGTCACGGCGTTATAAAACTCAGAATTGACTGGCCGAACCAGGTGTTTTGTAAAGAAGAAGGGCTACGCATACTAGGCTTGTAGGCAATGAAGCCAATTAAAGTTGGGTTGTACCTGCATAAACGCTTTTTCCCAGTATCAGGTAATCAGCCTTGATATTACTTCCCAAGCGATGCAAGTTGAAACTTGCTGTTACGTTGTGTGAGGCGAAGAACGGAACCTCTACTAATGATCCACCAACAGAGGACGAGCAGCCGCTTTGGTAAAATTTCAGAGCCCCATTGCCGTCAAAAATCTTGAAATATTCACTGTGGTAATAAGGACAGAAAACAAAACAGCCCGTTAAGAGAATTATACCTTTCCATTGATACTTCATGTTCCTTTAGAGAGTGATTATTGAGTCAGTTACCGTGGAACCCCGTTAAAACAACCATCAGTGGGCCACAAAAGTTTGGCCGTATTAACGGTTGACCGTTTCAATGACGAGGTTTTTTTTTTTACAAGGAACTGTATGGCCATTTTGCAAGGTGACAAAAAAAGTGGTCGTAATAACGAGGTGACCGTATTACTGAGGTACCTGATGGCGGGGTTTCAATGTAACGCTATTTTTTTTTTCTTCCAGTGAGCATAGAGGCTCTGTGCCTCTCTTCCATGTCTCGAAAATACACATAATTAAAATATTTCGGATGGCAGGAACGACCCCTTGCTAGCAGTTGGAGAAATGACACATTCTTCAGTCATATGAAGCATAAAACCATTCATGAAGTCCACTCTCTTTACAAGATATGAAAGCACCTAGTTCATGACGCTGAGCACGCAAAGGAGCCATTCTATGATATTTCATATCCCGTTTTAATGCTCCACTTATTTTTTGGTCCTTTGTTACAGATAATGAGAGCTATACCAAAAGCAAAAGGGCTGTTCTTGTAACGAACTCTAAATTGTAACAAAATTACAATGGTTTAAGTGGTTTCTTCTATCTACAAATCAATCATAATTAATAATTATGGTCCCCAACACATAATAAAATAGTGCTCTGATTTGAATTTAAGCATTGTGTTGCATCGGATTGAATAAAGTAGCAATATCAAGTAATACCTGCAATATCCAAAGTTCATCTCCTGAATTAGCACTAGACCAATTGCTTGGGGGATACCGACATTCCCAATTGACCAGAAGCAGTACAAGCTGGTGTAATCATAATGTGTCACATTTATACCGCCAGTTGATTGGTTGACCACCACCTTGCAAACTGTAAGGAAGATAATAAGAAAACAGTTTCGAGTCCGCTTTAAACGCTAAATAAAAACTCTCAGGATGCACTTTTACAGTCTCATTCTTCATCTTAAGAAAATATATTTGACAAACCGTAGGAATGTTAATGATAATAATAATAATAATAATAATAATAATAATAATAATAACCACGATGGTATTTTTATTTTTAATAAAAAAATTACCAAGACACAACGTTGGCTGACCGCCGAAGTTCATCCGCTGTTCAAAACCCCTCCCCTCCAGACAAACACCCTGTGCACAAATCATACCCCGCTCAGCTCTCCCCTACCCATCCCCCCATTCCTTTTTTTTGTTGTTGTTTTTTGATTTTTTGTTTTTAATAGTGATGCCTCAGGATTAAAATTGACTATTTTTCTTTAGGTTTTACCTGTGGTAACATAATAAAAAGAGGAACGCGGTCCTTCTCCTTTGGATGTATACGCCGCCACAGAAACATCATAACGCTGAGCCGGTCCTAGTCCTGTTATCAATGCCCATGTCATGTTAGGACTGCTGGTGACTAAACTGCTTGTATTAAATGGCATTGGAAAATAGGCGCTCCTCCTGAAGTAAACTCTATAGCCCAACAATCGGCCATTGTGAAACTGCTGAGGAAGAGGATTCCAAGTAACTTTGAACTGCGTTTCTCTTACTTCAGAGAACGTTATATTGTTAGGAGCACGAACAGGAACTGGAAGAAATACAGCACGCAAAGCAGTTATGGATAAGTTAGAAACAAGGCTTTGGCAGGCAAGGCAACCAATAACGTAATTGCGCTGTTAATTCTATAAACATACCCGATTCCTCAGTCCACTCTGTGACCTCTGAAGTCTTGTAAACATTTCCGTTATCATTTACACCAAGAACATTGAGTCGATATTCCATATATGGCGACAGACCATAGAAAACATCATATGTGGCATTTCCTTGCAGGATATTTCCACTCACTATACTTCCATTGGCGCTTTTTATGACACTTAGAAAGTGAGGAATGCTTTGGCTCAGCAATGCTGATAGATTTTTCCAAGAAACTCCCATACTAGTTGCTGTTTTGTTATGTATGGATACGTTCCAACTGGACACTAGGTGAGCTAAAAAGACAGCAATAAAGTTTATTAGTTAACGATGATGATAGAGATTATAGCGATGGTTGAGTTTAAGAATGTTTATTAAAATTAAATTTCGCACGTTATTTGCAACGCCTAGATTCGAATGGGCAAGAGCTTCCAAATCCGTTCACATAGGTAGCCGAGTAATGGGGAGAACAACGCCTCGCATAGGGAAAGTAAGTCTGTAAAAGGGAGATCTGTGCTTTCTTTGGGTATTGTATGTATGGTGAGAAATACAAAAGCTCGCAATATTAATGTTATCTTAACTAAAATGATGAAACTAACCCGATTGTAGTCCCTGCTGTACAATTCCGAATTGAAGCCTGACATTACTGTAACTACCATACAGATAGACTTGAACGGTGATATTCTCACAGTTTCCAAAATTAACTTCCCTAAAAGGTTTTTGGGGAGTCGATGAGTATCCATAACGAATAAGCACAGTTGCACCGCTCCCATCCATTATTTTAACGTATTCACTGTAAAATAAAGAGGAAAAAAACATATTTTGTCATTGATAGTGGTAACCTACAATCGGCAACAAAATTGTTGAGACATTGTACTTAAATAGGGTAATTTCGGAGAACAAAAGAATCCGCACCCCTCCCATGTCCCCTCCATTCAAAGTTGGGGTGTTTGTTGTTTTCTATAGGCAGCCAGAACAAGGGCACAACATTGCACGGGAGGGATGGAAAAGGAAAGCTATATTTCCTCCTTTTGAAGTTAATAATATAAAGGAAATAAAGGGAGATGTAAAGAATCAACCATAAGAGGACACAGAAAAAATCTGAGCCCCAGATGGGATTCGAACCCACGACCCTCCGTGTTCTAGATCGGATACTCTGACCTCTGAGCTACTGAGGACTCGTTAATAAAACGTGAAAAAGCCCAGTTTTGGGCGAAGTGTCTCAACTCATTTTGTCGCCGATTGTAGCTATTCTCGGCCATGTATTTTTTGTTTTTGTTTTTGTTTTTTTCTCCTGGCCCGGTTCCCCGAAAGACGGTTAAGTTTAACCCAGGTTTAAGCCAAACTTTAAGCAATAATTTCCGGTATAAGAACGTGCAGCTCAAGCGTACAAAATACTGTTCAGCCTTTTTTCCGCGATACAGTAACTGGATAACATTAAATGTTACTCTAACCATTACATAGGAAGGTAAGAGGGTAAAATACAAAAACGAAACAACATTTTAATGCTGGATTAGAGCTTATCTGCCTTTCATCCTTCCACTCATCTATTCTCGCTGTCGTTTCATCTCCAAATCTTTCCAACCCACTCAAATCATCTGTCCGCTCATCTGTTCATCTATTCAACGTTTAACACATCTGCACATTACACACGTAATACAACAGTAGAAAGGAAGTTATTTATTGCTTTCCTTTGATATTATCTTTTACAATCTCTACATTTTGCAAAACAACCGCTCCGTCGGCTTTAAACAAAAAAGAGAAAAAATAAATCTTATTCATTCCCTATGGAAGACATTGCTTCATTTAACTCACTTGTAATATGTCAGGTTGAGTTCTTGTATTGAAATAAGTGCAACTGCTTGCTGGATTCCTACATTTCCAATTGACCAGGTGCACAGCATATTACCGTGATAACCTTTCGGGCCAAAATGTAGCTGGCCAAATGATCGATTTAAGCTTCCTCCGCAACCTATGAAATAAGCAATGGCAACAAGTTAATTGAAAATACTGCACTCCCTTTATAGCGGACACCACAGGGGCCTTAAATTATTGTCCTTATTAGCGAGAGTCCGTAATAGCGGGAGTTTATTTCAGTCGAACATCTGTAATTCATTTTTTTTGCGTGAGATTTAGCTGCTGTCCGTATAGGGTTGTCCGTCATAACAGGGTGTCCTCAAGGCGAGAGTTGACTGTATTAGGAATTCTATTGGCCGTAGGAAAAAAAAGACTATTAAATGGAAGATAATATAAGCATGAACGCAAAGCATCATTAAATAATGCGAAAAAATCATCATTAAAAAAAAAAAACACTGTCGTGGTAAATTACGTCTACGACCAAAAATAAATTTTAAAAAAGGAAAAATCATTGTCCATGGCACATAAGTTGTTAATGCTTTTGGTATAGAGAAGTTGAGAAGCTAAATATTCTTTTAACGTTTCGCGACTTTAAGTTCAGGTGGTAGCAAGTATACAAACAAAATCACAGTTGAACAATGATATTTTCTTTGTCCCTCGACTAACATTGACAACTTCGTTTTTAAAGCATTTATACCAGGAAGCTCTGAAAAATTCATTGTCACATACTCATTAAAAACAACAACAACAACAAAAAACAAAAACAAAATAAAACATACTCTATTAGTAGTGTATTTTCCATGATAGTGGTTATAAAATGTAATATGTGCGTCAAATTAACATTTATCTAATTTGTTATCTACACCATTTATATCAGATTATTATTCATACAAAATATTTCCGCAATTCTGATAGGCTAAAAGTACACGCATAATTCACCATAACCAGTTACTGATGACCATAGTTGGAAGAATTTTGTGTTTAGCGAGAAAATGACGTCAAAAATGCAGCGTTCGTGCAGGTTAAGGCACCGTTAACCGAGAAGATCTGGGGACGAGGTTGGGTTGTTTTGATTGTGGGAACAAAAATGACGGACATTTCATCCGTTCCAAGAGTAAGAACTAGGCGAAAAAATAGCTTAAAAAAATGGCAAGAACAACAGGAAGACAACTCGAAGGGCGACATCTGCTATTTGGAGAATATTTGCGGAGCTGAACAACCCTAAACGTGTGCACTATCGAAGATAGCCTGCGTAACTGGCGGCATTGTGTGGGTGCGAGATTAACGTTTTGGCGGCGGAGCCGTGTTCCAAAAAAAGGGAGTGGGAACGAGGCGATTGAAATACCGCTTGCCAGAAAACCCCGGTATTTTGAATAGTCCGCACACCAGTGTGCGAAGAAACGGATTGGTCGAGGGCCATACATATGTGAATCATGTTAGACGATCCTTCGCATACATTTCCCGCTATTAAGGGAGCAGATGGCAAACTGGAAAAGACGTAAGTGATTGTGGTTTCCTCTTTAAAAAGGGCATAATTGATGACCAAATTGCCGAAATGGCGTCTTTAAACTTCACAGCGCTGGAATTGTCTTTATTTAGCCGTAAGAAACTAAGGTCAAAGAAACTTAAAACACTTAACAACTGCATCTGAGATCAAATCCTATCAGGAACACCTTCAGAGGAATAAACCACAGGAAATGGTTACTCAGTATGCATGTAACAAACCAGCTTCATGACCTTTTAATGTTAAGCCTTGTGTGGCAAAAAAAAATTTACTCAGTCAAAGTTTAGAATGATACATGCACTGTGCAGTGCTAGTATAACCCTCGCGCGAGAGCCGAGAAAATAAAAAAAAACCTCTGTTTAAGCAAACTCACAAGGTCACGTTTCATATTATCACGAGCTTAGGAGTCGTGTTTAGCATGTCAACGCTTATTTCTTAACTGTCTCGCGCGAAAATAATCGGAAGTTTCAAATTGCAGGTTTCTCTTTGATTGGCTGATTTAATTGGGATCAGCTAAGGTGACAAAAGTGGGCGGCATTCGAAAAATCATGGTTTTCTGGCAGGCGGTATTTCTCGCCGCTTCGCCGCTCAAGACGGCTCCGCCGTCACATCTCACTTGACTATATTACAACGGCTCCGCCGCCAAATATCACTCGACTACTGCACAATACCGCCAGCTACGTACGCAGGCTATATCGAAGATGACCTTAACATCGATGGATCGATGGAGGTAAGGATGTTTTAGCTATATTTTTAAACTAGGAATTATTTTGAATGAATAATAAGACAATTATTGAATTCGGCTTTCGTATCATGTGAAGAATTATGGAGATCTCCATAATTCTTCATAAGATACTCAGCCTTACTCATTAATTGTTAAATGGTCGGTACTATACTAATCGAAACCCACATAACATGACAACAATTCGACGTACGACGTACCTCCTGCGCATATCACCGATGCGTCTTCACTGTGATCGCAGTTATGGATACCCCATCCGCTGTGCCGACAATAGCCTATAGAACTTTCACTTCCCGAGCATGCAACATCATCCAGCCAAATTTGACCACTTCCGGCCCCAAATCGGGCAGACCCTGGGGCACTTATCGCTCCAGGAAATCCAAGCTGGCGACAAACAACTTGCGCGTCATACATATCCCAGGAGTCATCACAAACAGTTCCCCAGACGTTATTATAATAAACTTCAACTCTCCCTTCCCAGCTTTCAGATCCTCCAACCAGTCGTAAACCTAACAATGGTAAAAGGAAAACTTGAAAACACACACAAAAAAGATTAGATCCGATGACCTTATATTACTTAAGAGCTGATGCATTTTTCAAGGACTGTGCAAATATAGTAATTAGGTCCGTTCCCTTTAAATAAAAGTCTGTAGCATGACTTAATCTCATACGTAGATTTTAATTAACTCGAATAAGATATATATATTGCCCACGAAAATCGTTTCACACTAAACTGATAGAAATCAACATAAGCAATTTTTGCTTAAAACCTGCTAGAAATGTAAAAAAAAAAAAAAAACCTGATATATTTTACTTCGCTTGGCTAACAACTCGGCAGTGTGGCCCTGAGTTAAAAGAAATCAGCTGTATTCTACGTGGAAATGCACTTAGCTTCGCAGGTAGCTTTAAAAACAAGTTGCAAATGGCAATCTGCAGCTTTTTACAAGCGTGGTCCATTTGCATTTGGGTTGGCCGAAAAACAAATCCAGCTATACTAGACGGAACGGGACGTAAGCCCGAGGCTGCCGGATGGTATTAGAAGTATTGACCACTAGGTCACGCTGTCTCCCATAGAGAAAATACTTTTTGTCTTTATTCACCATTTCACATTTACCATAATGCACCTTGTTTACCTTCCGAATTTTACAGAACCATCCTTTCCAATTTCTCCTGGGCTGCATTACAGTGGTCCCCAGAGGAATTGAAGACAATGGTATGCACAATTTTGGGCGGTAAACAAGCTGCATTATGGTCTATTTGAAAATGGTAAATGCATTGGGGAATAACACGGAATGTAACCAAATACTTTTAAGCTTAATAATCAAGGGGAATGTTTACCTCCAATGCTAGGAATTGTCGGAAACACAGTGCGATTATCACAACTTCCGCTAGTGATCGCCACATCATCGATAGCGATATCTCCTGTATATGACGACCCCGCAATTCCTTCAAAGATTACCTATAAATAAAGTACAAATGTGGAAAATGGGAAGTCTTTAAACAGTTAGAGTAAGTGAAATAAGTTGGATCGTTGCGAGCGGAAACCGAAATAAAATTTAAAAAGCCATAATTAAAAAAGAGAGGTAATCAACAGAAAGCAAACTAAGATTCACTTTACCCTCAGAATTAGATTTATAAATAGTGGTCAGTTTTGCTGGAGAAAAGGTAGCACACAGGTAATTTCATAACATACTTCACTTGTGCGAGTATCAGGGTTCGTACCCTTTTTTGAACAAACAATTTAAAGACTTTTTAAGGACTTTCAAGGACACATTTCCCTTTTTTGCAATGACTCCATTCAGTGCAAAAGAGAGCCTTGAGTCTATGTCTATTTTTGTTCTTCCACAACATGAGTAATTTTATCCCTAAGGTCTTTCTGCGTTTGCTCCTGTTGGCATTGAAATTCAAGGACGTTCCAGCACCAACTGCAATTTTCAAGGACTTTCAAGGTCTTGAATTTATATTTTAACATTCAAGGACTTTCAAGGACTTTCAAGGTGCGTGCGAATCCTGGAGTATTTAATTAAAAGCAATGACACTCGGTATATCTGATGAATCGTAGAAGATTTTTAGAAAAAAAGTAGTGAAGGAGTGAAGGAGGTTGGCAAGGTCGTATGACAGATCTTGTCATAAAAGCATCATTTTTAACCGATGATCTAAGAAAATAATATCTAAAGATTTCCTGCAAATATTATGTGAAGATTTTAGCCACCTGAAATCGAGGAAAATCATAATCAAGTGTTGATTTTTTTTAGAAGAAAACAATATTAAACTTACATTGTTTCGCAAATATATCGTTTTCATTGCTGGTATCCAGTAGAAGTCCTGGTTCCCAGATACACTGAAAACCAGCTCATTCCCGCTGTAAACATTAAGGGTTTCTATGGTATCACCATACATGTGATAAAAGAATTCGAGACAAGCAGCTGCGCCACTTCCAGAAACTGACACTTGAAGTTTTGCGTTGTCACCTAGTCGCCTAGGAGACGAAGTCTCTATATACATGTAGTATCCTGCAAGGGCATAATGACAATAATAATGATACTGTGAAAGGTTTGAACCCAAGAGTCACTTCAACAGTAGTTAGGGTGAACGTAGTCCTGTTCTAGAACAAACGCCACTGAATCGTAGTCAACATTTACCGGCACTGACGGAATTAAGCAAAACCAACTGCGAGAGAACTAATAATAATAATAACAATACTACTAATAATAATAATAATAATAATAATAATAATAATTTACATTTATATAGCGACAACTTCTATATGAATATATTCGGTTGCGCTTTACAATATTGTTATATTAAATTTATTTTAAAGGTGACTAAAGCGTGAGAAACTATTAAAAACTACAATAGAAAGAAAAAGTCTACAATAAAAGCCAGCAATTAAATCTATTTAGCATGGCTCAGAGGTTCGCGAACGCCGTTTCGTAGCAAGATAGAGCAAATAATTAGACTGTAAAATAAATGTCGCTAATGCGGATATCTAAAATACGTGTCTATATGCTTTTATACTTAGGGACTTAGGGCTTTTTATGGACACTGGTTTAGCCGTCATTAGTATAATTCGATTGTAGTATCTTAATATCTCTGCATGATGGAATTCTTAATTCTTAAGTTACTTCTATTTTTTAGAATTTGTAAATGAATAGTTTTTTCTTTCTTCACTTATTATATATAGGATTGTTTTTGTTCTCTAATGAAGGCCGAGGGGTTTCTCTTGTAACGGATGGAATTGTAGATAGTGTTTTGATGAATTAATTAGATTTTTTTGTAACAGCAGGTTGATTGTAAATAGGATTTTAATTGAGGTTTTGTAATAAAGATTTTAACTTTTATAATCTATTTAAAAGCTAAATTAAAAAAATGAGTTTTAACAGCAGTCCTAAAAGTGTCCAATGTCTTCTTGTTGCGAATTGCCGAAGGTAATGCATTGCAGAGATAAGGTGCAGCTGACTGGAATGCGCGATCGCCAAGAGGTGGATGGGTCTTAATGCCTGGTAACTCGAGGAATATAGACTCATTTGACCTTAGAGAGTACCTGGATTGCGTTTTGATAGTAATTAAATCAACTAAATAATTAGGAGCTTCACCATATAAGCACTTAAATGTCAAAAGTAGAATCTTAAACTTTATACGGTAACTTATTGGAAGCCAATGAAGGTGGAAAAGCAATGGTGTAACATGGCAGAATCTAGGATTTTCCATCTTCATCAAAATGTCATTCTTGACTTTAAGCAGGGCAGTTTCTGTGCTATGGTGCCGTCGATAGGCTGATTGCAATGTAGGAAAAAGATCATGCTCATTTAAGTAGGACTGAATCTGATCAACTGCCACTCTTTCAGCCAATTTTGAAACAAAGGAAAGATTGCTGATTGGTCGAAAGTTTTACTGGACAACTGACAGGTCATTCAGGTCAATAACCACAGTACAATAACAACAACTGGCGTGATACAACTCACTTTGACCCTGAAGATGACTACCGCACAGGTTGTCGAAACGTCGGTCACTGTCAACAACAACAGTCCTATTGTTTGTATTGTTCGCTTTGTGGGTAAAGGGGGTTGCTGTTTATACTTTAGAATCTGTCAAAAATAACTATGTAGCCTTAACAAACGTAACGAATTAGCAAGTTCATGCCCCTACAGGAACAGATTCATACTCAAGAACATCATGATAACGTAGCTGTCACACAGTAACGCAATCCCCCATTCCGCTTTTGTACCTTGTTACAACTATTAATATACTTCATAGTTCATGTCGTTTATATATCGCACAGCAACCTAGCCTGAATTTCATCCGATTACTTCGAGCCGTTATTACTCCCTCAGTAACGTCTGAATCGACCAGCCGTTAATGCCGTCCAGTGACGTCACTACTCCTTGATCTTTGCTTTAATTCATGCAAAAAGTAAAACACGATTTTCAAGTGGCAAACCGAGAAACATCGTTTGGAAATGTCTGCATGATACAGAATTGCTTTATTTTTTTCGATCGTGATTCATGTTTAACGTTCTAACTATCAACTGCATGCAGTACAACTCTGAACGGGCTGTACTGAATTCTATAATCAAACTCGGTCGCAATCACGCAATGTAATAAACACACACATGAAACACTTAGTTCAAAAACACAATGATTTGCTTTAATTGAAAAGAAGCTATTTGGTCCTTCACGAAGAAAAAAAACAAGGAAACAAGAAAGAACAGCTAACAGAATCATTACACTTGACGGTGAAAATAGCAAGAAGGTCGAATTATAACACTGATTTCAGAAAACTTCGCGTAAACAAAGTCACCGGCCGCCGAAACCACAAAGCGGCTCTAAATCAAAAACCTACCGACTCTCCGCAATGATTCTTCATTCGCAGTTCAATTTAGCATTTCAGTTTCGAAGACAAGGGCAATTTTGCAGTTTAAGATAAAGATTAAGCTTATCGAAATACCGGGGATGCGATCCGCTGAATATCAAGCGACAATCCCGCTAAAATTTTTCACAATTATACATAATTATGCGAATTTTTAGATAATCAACCAATCAAAATCACTACCCGGTTTTCGGGTAGTGAGTGACGTCACTGGACGGCATTAACGGCCCGTCGATTCAGACGTTGTTGAGAGGAGAAAACGACTCGAAGCAATCGGATGAATTTCAGGCTAACAGCAACCGAGTTAAATGCTTACAACCGCCAGTTTTGAACAGATAAATTTCTTCTAAAGTTTAATCTACATCCAATGAATTTATACTGATAATAATATATTTTCGTGAAATAAAAGTGAGAAAATGTTAAGGAATGAATTTCAATATCAGCAAACCTGATCCACTTGTATGATCCGAAGATGGTCCAGTATTTGACGAAGACGTGCGGCCAGAGTAAAGCGTCCAGTCAAATACATCCTGCTTCGACTGGCTCCATCCAAAGCACAATCCATTATCAAAATCACAGGATACTACAAGTGAATCAGGTAAATAAATCACATGTCATTTAACTTGAAGGATCGTTCCATAGTATCAAGATGAATGATAATTGGCAAGACGAGTTGCACCGGAAGTGGCGGATTCATGAGAGGGGCCCGACCACCCCAACCCCCCTTTTTTTAGACCGCAGGATGATCGGTCCACTTACCCGAACCCCCCCCCCCTTACCCCTTCTCCCCCTTAAGGTTGATTTCCAGTGTCGCGTAATTTTTACGTGCGTACGTGCGTATGTGGGTAAAATTTACGTGCGCAAATAAAATAGAGGCAATGTATGAAAGGTCGCTCGTAAGAGTAAAAGTTGAACCTCGCTCAACTTCTCGTTTAATCTCAACACTTTTTATCGTGCCTCTATTTTACTTACGTGATTAAAATTTACGTGCGTTAACGTGCGTAGGCAAAAACGCGTCAGTGGAAATCAACCTTTATCTGAAAGTCTGGATCCGCCGCTGAACGCAAATGTAATGAAACAAAAACGCGGCATAGTATGAGTAGGCCAGGACAACGGAAGAGGGCGTATAAAATGAAAATATTCAGGTATGCTGTTGAGTTTTTTAAAATTAGATAGCCTGCGAGCGGACTCGATTTTGACAGTGAGTGGAAATTTGGTCGTCGGAGCTACCAGCGCGCAAGGAAAAGTGATTTTCCACACAAGTGAGCTTGTTTGAAGGCTAAAAATATATACAAATCGATTTACTTTTACCTGGACAGTTTCCACTGTTTATTTCTACACTATCAATCGCGATATCCCCAGTGAATGAATTTCCTGCAATCCCCTCGAATATTACCTGCGGAAAGTGTTGAGTTGTAGTTAGCAATATACCGGACACTTTCTATCTGCGTATACTCCCTTATGGTCGTGGCGAAGATGATGATATTGATGATGATGATAATGATAATGATTACGATGAAGATGACGATGATGATAATGACACGATAAGCTAACTAGAATTACGTGCGCGTTGGCACACTTTTTTCTCTTACCAATCCATTCAGAATTATGTTTCTCTCCTCCATAATCCAGTAATTACTCTGTTGTCCAGAAGTGTTAAAGACTTTGCTGTTTCCGCTGTAGACGTTAAGAGTTCCAACTGAAGCTCCGTACATATGATAGTAAAATGAAAGGCAAGACATTTCACCGTTGTTTGGAACAGTAAGAACAAGCCTGGCTTTGTCGCCGGGTCTTCTTGGAGAGGATGTTTCAATGTACATATAATTTCCTTAAAGTAAAGAAGGAGAGGCAAATATAAGTAAATATTACTTTAACAATCAACAGAGGACGATACAGTATGTTGCCAAGTATCCGGCCACTTAAGGTGATTCCATAGTAAAAGAACCTAACATAGATTTTAGCTAAAACTTGGTACACTGATGTAACAAGTCAAGAAGATGATAAAAAAGTAATAAAAAGTGGGGGTCACCGTGCTCGTTTTGACGTCACAATGCTGACAAATACGGCTATTTAGGACCCTTTTACAAAAACCGCGGGCAGAGCAAAACTAGACAACAAGGAGAGGTTTTTTCGATGATGCATGTGACATCACACAGAATTTGACTTTAATGTATTGTTCATCCACTTACGTACCAGAAAAATGCCTTTTAATGCCCTTGTTTTTACTTTACGCTCCAAAGCAGAATTAAATTGGACGCGCGCTTTTCAACCCGTGATGGCTCAATCCGTACAATTTAGTAAAATTGCCAAAAAACTGAACATAGATTTGTGCCAATTTTTTTCTCATCGAAAGGAAGCACTGTCCTTATTAAAATCATGAAATAAAAAATGGGGGTCACCGTACCCGTTTTTGCGCTAGAGCTGCAGAAAGTGCGCACCAAACGCATTTTCTCCGATTTTTGAGAGAGGACTGGGGCGAGTTTCAAAATAGAATGTATGTGAAAGGGGGAAGAAAGTATTAAAAAAATCCGATTTTACAGAATTTACATAGAGATGTCACATTTGGGACACAATGTGATAAAGAAAGTGTTTAAATGAAAATCAAAGTGCGTAAGCACAAGTTAAACATCCACTATCGAGGTTCTCCGAGAGGAGGTCGAACTCAGCAACACGCGTACTGCATACGTTATGCACATTCCCAACACATTGAGTCTCACCTCGGCAAGAAACAGCAGCAAGCAAAAATTCCAATGGCGTTTCTCTTCAGTCAACTTCATTTTAATAATATTACTTCACCTGCTCTTTTTTACGGCGGCCATCTTGTTATGCGCAGTAAGAGATGCGCAGTGCAAAACTAGGGAATCACCTTAAAACAAAAACTCATTTTTTGTAGCGCCCTTTTCAGTTTTCGGTAAACAAAGTATTTCGAATGGAGGCTGAAGAAAATCAGCTTTAAAATGCAAGTTTTGGCGGGTTTACAGCTTGAGAAACAGTTGAAGAAGGCGCCGTTCTGTTCAGGTGAGTAAACTTTCCATGGCTAATATTTAAGCTGTTTACCGCGCAGTAAAACTAGTGGTGTTCAAATAAGGATTGGTAATATGTGATATTTTTAAAGAAACTGTGTTATATTTAAAGTGAAGATACTTAAAGAAGTCAGGTTGTCAGAAAATTCATAAATTCTTCCTGAAATTCAATTTGTTTGGAATAACGGAGGCCAGAAACATTCACTAAGTATTGATGTCAGGTGCCCAACATCCTGCCAGTTTTTTTCTTTTCTGTGCAGAATCGATGAATTAGCTGCGTACTATCCGGGCAAGATTTATTTTATATCTATAACAGTAGTTAAATATTAGGATATATAATAATAATCTGTATAAGGTAACTCTACTCAACTCCTTATGGAAATTCAAGGGCGAATTGATTTCGTTGGCACGGCTTGTTCCGGAAGCGTCGAAGTTGAAACAATATTATCATACAAATCCCCCAGTTGTGATTGTTAGAATGGGGTTGCAACGGTCTGAAAAATTTCCCAAAGGGATTGAGAGATGTGAAGTTCAAGAAAGAGGAATTAGTGCTAGACAACGGCAGCCCAAATGTGGGGACAGAGCATGAAGAAATCAACACTGCAGCTCAGACTAAAAGGCAGAGTGACCTTTGACAGTCGGAAGGGCCCTTCTCCGTTTATTTATTTATTTATTTATTTTTTTGTCTTATTTGTTAGTTCCTTTTTTTTTCCTTTTTTTTTTCTCTCCACATTTGCAACCTTGGTCAGCCGCTCGCGTAGTTTTCCCCACCATACCCCGGTTATTATTTGTTATCTTTTGTTTCACGATGCTGGGTTCCCAGGTCGATTAATATTCTTGGAATCAAATGCCAGACTACTTTGCAAGTGCAAGAGGAGCTAAAAAGTCGCTTGCCTGTCCATATCTATGCATAATTATGTTGTTACTGTTGTGACCAGATGCTGGGCAACATAGGAGCTCTGCAAAGATATTAATTCCGCGATGGAAGCGAAGGCAAAAAAATTAAACTGTCTTTCATCATGTTAAGGCGTAAATAGATTGTCCGTGGGCCAAATGTCAGAGCTCTTGCGACCACGAAAGGAAAGTTATTGCAATGTTAAACTGAAGTGGCCGGATACTGGGCAACATACTGTACACACGTGACTGACTTTGTGTTGTATTTTGTTGTTGATGTTTTTGTTTGTTTTAACAAAAATGCCCCAAAAAAGTTATCTTTATTTTCTTACAGCTTCCTTTGACTGAAAAGCACATAAAAAATCTATATAAGATATAAATTGCTCCATGCTATTTGATTACTAACAGGCAGAGGCGTTAGCTGTTTACGCGTATTATAGATTAAGTTTTACTTCATTGCAATATATGGCTACGGACACGTAATATTGTCTCGTTACAAATATGACACGTGAAACATAGACTAAAATATATTTCATGCCAATGACTACGGGAACTTCATTGAAGCCTCATTTCCTCTGAATTGAAGATGAATTTGGGACTAAAAGAAATTAATTGAACTAAATCCAACCTGATCCCCCTTGCCCAGAAGACGGGCCAGTAGATCCTGATGGTGTTGAACCAAACCAAAGTGTCCAATCAAAGTCATCTGAAGAAGATTGGTTCCAACCGGAGCATAATCCATTGTCAAATGCACACCACACTAAGTAAGTAAAATAAACTAATAAATTAATTTATGCATTCGTTCCTGTCCATGCACCCCTTCATTAATTCGTCTATTTATTCATTCTTCATTCGTTCGTTCGTTCGTTTATTCATAATTTCATTCGTTCGAATGTTCGTACGCTCTTTTATTCATCTACTTACTCATTCCTTCGTTCGTTCGTTCGTTCGTTCTTTCGTTTATTTATTCAGTTATACTACTACGTGTGACATTTCTGCAATTTGATTGGTTTAGAGGAGTGATATTTTAGCTTAATTTGAAATACCTACACGGGAAAATTACAAAACTTTTGCGGGTAATAGTATAAACAAATAATAGCATGATTTGAACGTGATATTTGGCACAAATAACACTCATGATATTTTAAAATTGTCTCAAATTTCACTTGCCTAACGGCTGGTGAAATTACGTATAACAATTTCGAAATATCAATCGTGGTATTTATGCCAAATATCACTAGAAATCATGCTATTACCTATACTAATTCATTTTCTTCCAAAACATCACTAGCAAAATATATTTTTAATAACGAAATCCCAAGTGTTTATAAAAGCTGTGGCACTGACAACGCTTCGATTGCATGTTTTGCTAGAGTCATTGAACTTTTGCCAGTAAAAAAACGTTGGATGGATGATGACAGAAAGGAAACTTTTAATTTACAAGAAAGGGTTATGTAAAAGGTGTTTAAAATACTTACCTAACGCGGACACCGATTGGTTCTGTGGCGAAACAGCAGGCGGTATTGCTTGATAAATATGGTTGGTTACCCATGCTTTCAGTTCTCTAACCTTAGCATACACTCCATACTTTGAAGCATACGCACATCCGTGACCCCAACTTGTCACACCCTCAAGAAACCATGTACCGTTAAACTCACAGACCAATGGACCACCACTGTCGCCTTGACAAGTGTCAACTCCTCCTGCATCCAGGCCAGCACATAGCATCGAATCATCAATCTTTCCAGGGTAGGAATTCAGACAACGTTGCTTGGAGACCAGTGGTATCTCAGCTTCCATGAGGGTATTTGGCTGGGACCCATCTGACGACAGTGTACCCCAGCCTGTTATCCAGCACTTTCTGTTTAAATTGTCAAAAGGGAGAGCGTGGCACATATCAGGCAGGCAGACAAGCCCGATGCCAACTCCAAGATTTGCAGGTTTTAAGAGCTTAATCAGGGCGATGTCGTTGCTATAGCTCAACGGGTCATAATAATTTTCATGCCTGATGATCTGTACAACCCCGATTTCCTGTTCTGTTCCAACACTGCCGCTTGTTCTGTAGTGAGCTCCCAACCTTGAAAAATAAATAAGAAAAAAAGTACCTACCATTTAAAATTAATATTTAAAACTTTAGCAACTATAATAAACGACGACAATCGCGCTGATGATGATGATGATGATGATGATAATGACGACGACGACGACGACGACGACGATGATGATGATGATGATGACGACGATGACAGCAACAAGGACAATTATGATTGTAAACGATCCTTAATAATGATTATCCTTTTAATACAGAAAAAATGTGATCGTTGTTGATGATTAATTAATTAATTTAATTATTATAACTATTACAATTATTATATCTTTTTTGACACCTGATCGCAGATTAATTAAAACAATATATTAACGCGCCAGAATCACTAGAAATTGTATGCACAGAATCAGAAATCCCAGCCTACTACTGCATGCTGTCGGGATAGAGAGACCCAATAATTTGAATCGTGAACATAGGGTCAATGATCACGGTAGGCAGCAATTCCCCACTCCAGAAGCTACCAGAAAAAGTAGGTACAAGCTTCCAGCGCAACGATTTTTAGGATGGTTTGGGTAAAGGGGAGGGGGAAGAAAACCGTTGCTTATGGCTGGCTAATAATTGCCTTGAATACACGACCAATGATAACAAAAGCTTGTCCACGCAAACAATCCCAGAAATCATTGTGCCCAAAGCTTGTACCTATTCTCCCAAGTGTTCCTACAGTGAAGCATTATTTCTGGTTTTAAAATATTTCAAGCGTAACTTACTTCACTTTGATAGAAGACGGCGATTTTCCGTTAACGCAATGTGCAGCGGTCACCACCCAATAAGGGTCTACTAACGATCCGCCGCAAAACTGGCTTCCAGAAGTTCTGATCAACATCACCTGCCACGGCCAGCTATTCACTCTTGCAACTGAACCACCAACAATTCGACTAGTAGTACCTGGTCGAGACCCACAAAAAATACTATATGAAATAGAAAAATTAAGAAATAAATAGTTACATACATAAAGTTTATTCACGTGTCAAGAGTATTGAGCTAGTGAAGCTAATTGGGGACACTGGATATAAAAAAAAAAAAAAAAAAAATTAGCTAGAAAATTCAAAGTAAAACTTATAACCAAGAAACTATGTACTTATATGTAATTAATCTTTAATATATTATAACAAGGAGTTAAAAAAGCTTTCACGAAAGGCAATCCTAGCAATTACAGCTACAATCAACAACATTAGTGTGGTGGAATTGCACTCTTAAAAGATTGAAGGATATAGGTTTACAACGAAGGTCTTTTCTCATCTTACCCAAAAGATGGGGTAAATGTCTATTAAGAAAAAAGGCAATAGATTTGTCTGATTCCATTAGATAATTTTATAAAAAAAAACCTAGTAGGCTACATGTAAGTTGTGTCCGGGTATGGTTTAATAGTAGAGAACTGATAGGGAGCTACAGCTCATGCATGGAAGTGGGGCTAAAAGCAGGGAGTATGAACCTTCGTGGCGCTTACCATAGCAATTACATTAGCACAGTTGTTATTAGAGAACCTAGGCCTGTCCTTTAGGTTAAAATCCCTTCACCTTTATTCAGTCTACTGCATGTAGCAAGAAACAGAATGCAATGTATAATGTGTAGTTTACCATAAGTGGTTGAAGCCAGACGTTCACTGCTTTTGTATGCTTGTCCAGTCTCGTCAATTCCATACACACTAATTCTGTACCTTGTTGATGGTCTTAGCCCGGCGATATCTTTAGTTGTCGCACTTCCTGGGACAGAATCTACAACTAGCAAATTTCCCGCTGGACTGTTAATAAGAATCAAGTAAAACCTGGCAGTCCGACCAACGTTCGACCGAAGCGAAGACCATTGAATACTAAAACCAAAATAACTGGACATCAACACAGTCACATTCCATCCTGAAAGCGGTAAAGCTGGAAAAAAGTAAAAATAAAAGGAACAGAGATTACTCGTATTGGCTTATTTTATCGCTTGTTTACTCCTGAAATACCACGTGACATTGCTTCTCTTCCATCGATCCTGAAGCGCATGCGTGTATCATGCATAAGGTCTATTCTACCCAGGGCCCAGTTGTTCGAAGGCCGATTAGCGCTTAACACGGGGTTAAATTTAAACTGGGTTACTTTTTCTTGTTTTCAAAGCATTTTCTCGGATAATTTTCTCTGTGATTTTTTGAGCTTCCAATCATCAACTTGTATACAAAAAGAATTAAACCTGAAATGCTTCTTAAGCTTTCAAATCTGAATTCAATCTCGCACTAACCCTGGGTTATCTTAATCCAGCTTTGAACAACTCGGCCCAGGTGGCAGCGAACGGATTAAAACTAAGATGCCCGCCTTTATAGAGCACGCGCGATCTGAACAATCGTAAGGAAACAAAGGGACTCTAAACACTCTACGACTAAAATATCGCTATTTGTAACTACTTGTTATGTATTCAACAATATTAACTTCGCCTTCGGCGAATAATTGTTTTATTATATGCACACGAAGTGATCTCAACAGAATCAGAGAGGAAAACATGAAAAAAACGATCAGTTTGATTCACGGGTGAATTCATGCGTGAACTTGTAGCCGTAAACAGCAGATGCACAACCGTTAGATCTTTATAGTATTTTCAAACATGGCAAATCATAGTTTTAATTGGTTTGTAAACTTTAGCATCAATGATTGAAAAGAAAACGTTGAAAGATTAAACAACTCCCCTTTTTGAGAAGAAACACCGAGCTTTATTTGCTTCTGTCAACTCACCGTGAATGAGACGGTTTTTTTGTCGCTTCTTGCAAATGCTGTCAACAGCGAGCTACAGCGGCTACGATCGAGGTGAGCGTTGTTTATCTGCAGTGCAGTGTTTCTTGCCATGTTACAGCGGCGGATCTAGGGGGAGGGTGCAGGGGGTGCGCACCCCCCCCCCCCTGAGATGACCTGCGGTTTTCTAATACAACTGGTATTCTGCCAAAAAAAAACTATGTGGTTTATTGGTGTTGAAGTAGAGCAAGAGACGAGTGCACCCCCTCCTAAAAAAAATCCTGGATCCGCCCCTGTGTTAACTTGGTGGCACCTACAGTTTTCGAAAATATTTGCTTTCCTTTTTTTCTCCGTAAATTAACTTCTATTTGCAGGCAAAATTGGTCTTGCGAGGAAATCCCGTGTTCACAAAACAGTGACAAAGCGGCCTCCTTTTCCGCTGTCGTGGTCAATAAAAACATTGCTTCGAGCGTATGAAAGTCAACTACAGTAAATCACTTCGTAATAAAATCACGCTGTTAACACACCATGAAGTCTTCTCTTACCTTCAAAATCATCAACTGTGGGATATTCTTGTATTTGAAAAAAGTTCTTACTCTGAAACTTAGCAAAACACCCAGTTCACGACAGCGATTTTGTTTTGCTTTATATTCACCTCCTAGCGCGGTGAATATAACGTCATAGTCCGAGATAGCGAACCAATCAGATTGCTTGAATCACCACTGAGTGTGTATATACTAAAAGGTAATAACACTGCAGAAGATTGTAATTTCAAATTATTTGGAAAACAGTCCATGTACCAGTTGGCATAAAACCCAAAGATTGTCTATGGTCTATTTGTCTGTGGTCTACAATATTTAGCTCTTTTAATTAAGAAACAGTAAAACGTACCTGAAGATATGCCATTTTTCAAAATAGCAAACTTGATTTTCACGCTGCTTTTAGTATTTCCTAAATACACTTGAATTGAGATGTTACCGGACGAGCCAAACTGCACATCCAACAAATTCTCTGTGGTAAAAGGTGCGCACCCTGTATGATTGAGAATGTCGTTACCGCTTCCATCAATGATCTTCACATATTCGCTGTGTGATTAAAACATGACAATCATATCAGCTAAAGTGTTCTGTACAATCGCCAAACTTTCTTTTCTGCAATGCTACCACAAAGTTTGTTATGCTCAATAATGACTAGCAGTAACCAATGGTCAGAAGTTGCGGGGGAACATTTGCGCCTTGTTTACATGTGACTACTGATGCTGTGAGTAAATAGTGAATATGTACGTAAAGAATCGAATAAACTTATTTTAGTTTCAATATCAACAGAGGAAATCACCCCGGAATCACCAACGCGTAAATTGAATTGAACAACAAAGTAAACAAGAGTCAAATTGAGATCGACCATTTAATTCAAAAGGACAAAGTTTTGCTTAAATAAGCTTACAATCAAAACAGTAACACAGACAAGACCTAAGGTGAAGTAGTGTTCAATAACCCAAAGTCGTGAAGACGCAGTAATAAATCAATAGAAAGCAATGTTAAACCTTGGATTAACAAAGCTGATATGCTTGGATGCATTTTAGACTTTTTAATCACTTGTAAGGCTGTTCCCTCACTTAGCTGAGATGAGATCTCTACTTTCCTTTCACTTGGCAAATAGGTTTCTGGCGGGCATGGACAATCGAAAAGTCTCGTATTAAGTGTGGATGTGTTTACGAATCAAAGTATCGAACAAACATTGCTCCAAATGTTTCGGAAATTTGCCTTATTCTCGTCATTACCGTAGGGATATCAAATGGACCTTAAACTTAACACCAGGGCCTTCGCGGCCACATGCCATGCATATTAGTTGGAAGAACAAAAACACCCCAAGATTGTGGATAGAAAGGTGCCGCTGAGCACCCCACCAAGAATACGACTGCAGGCACGCATTTTGCTCACCCGAAATAGTAATAATAATAATAATAATAATAATAATAATAATAATAATAATAATAATACAATAATTTTATTCAACTTTAAAAATATGTACATAATTTACAGAAATATTTGAAGTAGGAATTAAGCACTATATAACATTAAGAATTATATAAATCATAAAAATACAACCACTGTGTCAATAACGATCAACAAATACGTTCCTTGCGGCTCAGATGCGATCAATAACTCTTGAAGGCGGTCCAGAGTTTTATGTTAAGTCATTACAAAAGAGAATCATCCGTCTCTGATATCAAAAGAAACAAGTTAAAAAGAATATAATCTTGTATTCCTAAATTCCTCATTCTTTAAAAAAAATTCTGTAAAAATTAATTAATCAATTCGGGCAGGCTCTAATATTTTCGACCTGTAGATCTGAGTCAACAAAGTCTAGATGTCGTCTTCTGGATCTTGAGCCTCTCAAGCATAAGTATTTCTGTAGCAAAGTACCGTTCCACGCAGACGAAACACGAAAAAAGAGATTCATAGGAATTGCAATTGTCACGAGAGTCATATGTTTCAGTACCGTTTAGTCCAGCTTATTTCAAGTACGTTGTGCCGTAAAGATATGCCTTAGGGAGAAGAAGTTTACGAGCAGTTTGTAACAGATCAGAGTGAGATCAAAATTCCTAGTTCTATTATCAGTGCCCTTTTCGTCTTAGAAGCCTTACGTACCTATAGTTCATCTTTCTTCGACGAGGATGTCGAAATTCTTAAGGTGGGAGGAATGTAAGGAGAGACTTTCCATGAATTCTTTATTGGCCTCGAATGTCATATATAGATTTCAAATATTCGCTTTGACGTAGTTTTTAAGTAATTCATCCTGAATTTGCTTAAAGAGGCTTTAGCTCCGTAAAAAGGCTCGTGCCATTTTATTGTCCTTTGTTTCATTTGCTTTGTGTTCGCTAGGTAATAATTCTGCCGGTTTTACCCATGTAAGAACTACCTACGAGAGAACGACTGAAGAACGGACAATTTGACTAATAGACAACTGTTTAACTCTGACAATAGACGGATCGAAACACACCAATTAGTGATTACGAGTCTTCATAGCCAATAACATCGCGGCTTAACTGGCAGACGACCAATAACATCGCGACGTAATTGACCAATCAGATGAATAACCAGAGTATAATACCATCAACTGACGTGATACAACTCACTTTGGCTCTGAAGATGACTACCGTACAGGTTGTCGAAACGTCAGTCACTGTCAACAACAACAGTCCCATTGAGGACTACGTTCCCCG